AGAATCGTGCTACCTGTGGTAGTATGAGTATTTTACAGGCGTTGAGAAATACTACTACAGAGTTGCCGTTCTCTTTCGTTCGCTCTCCGGCTATCGGTGTGCTTATACTTTTGATTGTGTTTGTGTTTGCTCACTAATTACGAACACCAGTGAACATTTAAATGCTCTCTGGTTCTCTGTTTATGCTTGGAGCCGGTTTGAAAAGGAAAAGTATCAGCTGGGGAGTGATCAGCTTTTTCAACACTTTTTTGGAAACCAAATTCTAAAAACATTAACATTTCTAGATCAATTTTAACAGATTTGAAGTGAAAAAAATAAGCAGAACTGTACTTTTCTAGAAGGCACTTCTAGAAGCATTTCGTCACAAAGTCCATAGTTGGGCGAGGCCTCAATCGGGTTTTATAGAGGCCCCTTACAAGTCGCAAACAAATATGGAGACCTTGCTCAAGGTCTCCTCTTTTCCCCTTCCAACCCACTTTTCCTGTCTATCATGAGCTGCTGCTCAGAATTTTTTATTAATCTATTCACTACACTGCATACCATATAAAAATGTGCGATAAGACAGCGTCGTTCTCCGTCTCTATCGCTCACCCAGGTCGAACAGATCCAGCTGGGTATAAAAGACACTAAACTCTCGCAGTCAGTATTCAGTAAGCAACAAGTGAGCAAGCCAGAAACAGCTCCCTGCTTAACAGGCTTATCGAAGAGATAAATACACCAACAAGCAATCAAGATGCGTTTGGGACAGACCGTACCTAACTTCCAGGCCGACACCACCAAGGGGCCCATCAGCTTCCACGAGTGGCAGGGCAATTCGTAAGTGCCTTTGAAAACATTATCTCCAGCCGATACTCATCGTCATCCAATCCTCCGTCTGATCCTCAGGTGGGTGGTGCTCTTCTCCCACCCCGCCGACTTCACGCCCGTGTGCACCACCGAACTGGGTAGAATTGCGGTGCACCAGCCGGAGTTCGCCAAGCGGAACACCAAGTGCCTGGCGCACTCCGTGGACGCCCTCAACTCGCACGTGGACTGGGTGAACGACATCAAGAGCTACTGCCTGGACATTCCCGGCGACTTCCCCTACCCGATCATCGCCGACCCCACTCGGGACCTGGCCGTCAGCCTGGGCATGCTCGACGAGGAGCAGAAGAAGGACCCCGAGGTGGGCAAGACCATCCGGGCGCTGTTCATCATCAGTCCGGACCACAAGGTGCGCCTCTCCATGTTCTACCCCATGTCCACGGGCCGCAACGTTGAGTAAGTACTTCCTTAGGGTCGAAGGTTAGGATGATCTTAACTTACACTCCTCCTAATTTACAGTGAGATCCTGAGGACCATCGATTCCCTGCAGCTGACTGATCGCCTCAAGGTGGTGGCCACTCCAGCTAATTGGACTGTGAGTGTTTCTGTTGACTAGTTACTTACTTACTTATCTCCTTACTAATTGTGCTTCTTCAACAGCCTGGCACCAAGGTCATGATCCTGCCCACTGTCACCGATGAGGAGGCCCACAAACTGTTCCCCAAGGGATTCGACAAGGTGTCCATGCCCTCTGGAGTCAACTACGTCCGCACCACTGAGAACTATTAGACACCTGGAACTATTTCCATTTTTAATCTTTTTTTCCCCCCTTCTGTGCCATAAAAAATTTAGTTACTATGTAATAAAGATTATTTTTACAAAACAACTACCTCAATACATTTTGAATTTAGCTCTATTAATCTCTAGCTCTAATCATCTGCCAAAGCAAAGGCAAATTCAATTTTTGCTATTGACTTTTGAGAGTTATTATCGTGTAAAAGATATTGGCTAATTAGTTTGTTTCTCCAAAATAAACAAAAATATTTCAATTACTTCAGCGAATTTAATTATCAAATTTAATTATTTAAACAAAAACAAAACTTACTATTTTAAAGCTAGTTATGCTCCCTTTCAAATGTTTTCGATTTAATTGATTTGTTCATGTAAACAGGTGTTATTGTAAAGAGATGAGTGAGCCTACCAGAATCATTCGGTTAAAGTGTTGTCATTCCCATGTTGCACTACGACAGACAGGCAGACATGGCTAGATCCACTCTGCTGGTGATGCTGATCAGGAATATATATACCTTAAGGGTCGGAAATGTCTCCAACACTGGTTGCAAACTTTTGACTGCATTTTAAAGAACAGAAAAGTTTGCTGTTACTCATTGACTTAGATTTCAAACGTAAGTTTAAGATTTTTTAATAGGGAAGTCTTTGTGCGACAACTGTAGCTGAAAATTAACCGTTTTTAAATTTAAAGGCATTAAGATTTAATTTATTTATCTTTATTATGTGGTAGAATATTATACTTTAGGGAAATGTTTAACAATGGTTAATATAATTAAAAAAATTAAGCCTTCTAATAGTTCTCAGTGGTGCGGACGTAGTTGACTCCAGAGGGCATGGACACCTTGTCGAATCCCTTGGGGAACAGTTTGTGGGCCTCCTCATCGGTGACAGTGGGCAGGATCATGACCTTGGTGCCAGGCTGTTGAAGAGGCACAATTAGTAAGATGAGTAAGAACTAGTCAACAGAAACACTCACAGTCCAATTAGCTGGAGTGGCCACCACCTTGAGGCGATCAGTCAGCTGCAGGGAATCGATGGTCCTCAGGATCTCACTGTAAATTAGGAGGAGTGTAAGTTAAGATCATCCTAACCTTCGACCCTAAGGAAGTACTTACTCAACGTTGCGGCCCGTGGACATGGGGTAGAACATGGAGAGGCGCACCTTGTGGTCCGGACTGATGATGAACAGCGCCCGGATGGTCTTGCCCACCTCGGGGTCCTTCTTCTGCTCCTCGTCGAGCATGCCCAGGCTGACGGCCAGGTCCCGAGTGGGGTCGGCGATGATCGGGTAGGGGAAGTCGCCGGGAATGTCCAGGCAGTAGCTCTTGATGTCGTTCACCCAGTCCACGTGCGAGTTGAGGGCGTCCACGGAGTGCGCCAGGCACTTGGTGTTCCGCTTGGCGAACTCCGGCTGGTGCACCGCAATTCTACCCAGTTCGGTGGTGCACACGGGCGTGAAGTCGGCGGGGTGGGAAAAGAGCACCACCCACCTGAGGATCACACGGAGGATTGGATGAGGATGAGTAACGACCGGAGAAAATGTTTTCAAAGGCACTTACGAATTGCCCTGCCACTCGTGGAAGCTGATGGGCCCCTTGGTGGTGTCGGCCTGGAAGTTAGGTACGGTTTGTCCCAAACGCATCTTGATTGCTTGTTTATTGTTGGTTTACTTGGAAAAACCTGTTTGGCTGTTTCGGTAGTAGCTGTTTGTAGCTTGCTCACTTGTTGCTTACTGAATACTGACTGGTGAGCTCGCTGCCTTTTTATACCCAGCCGGATCAATTTAGTCTGGGGAAGCGATAGAAGTCGAAAACGGGCGCTGCCTTATCGTTCGTGTTTATATATAGTATGTTAGTATGCAGTGTGGGAAGAGGAAACCTCGTGCAAGGTTTCCATTTTTTTTTTTACTTGTTTGCTATATAGAACCTGATTGAGGCCTTGCCCAACTATGGACTTCGTGACGAAATGCTTCTTTGTAGAAAAGTACAGTTCTGCTTATTTGTTTAATCCGTTTTAAATGCGTTTAAATTGGCCCATTAATGTAAATGCCTCCAGGATTTTTCGTTCAAACAGGTGCTCCAACTGAACACTTCCCAGCTGATCACTTTCCAGCTGATATCACTTCTCAACGGGTTCAAAACATAAACAGAGAACCAGAGAGCATTTAATTATTAATGGTGTTAGTAAACAGTGGGGAAACACTAACACAAGAAAATTTATAAGCACACCGATAGGTCGACAGTGAGCGCAAGAGAGCAGGGAATTTTTGGTGGTATGTGTGAACGCCTATAAAACATTCACACTGCCATAGATCGGCAAACTCTCCCGTTTATATACACAAAACGAGCCTCCAACTGGCAGAGAAGAGCGAGTACATTTGTGCGACTGTGTAGGTATATCTATTAAGAATTCACACACTAGTGCGGGTTTCCTCGCAATAGCTCACACAGATGAATCAAGTGTGTTCGGGAAGTCGTATGGACAGAGTGCTAGCTCAGAAACCAAAAGACAGTTCAACGGAAAGCATCCCAACTTGGATTAAGATCAGCATAATTGAATACTAAAATATTACATGGATATAAAGTCGTGATGAGCAACAGGCCATGTGTTTAAAGGTCGCTTAAAGAAGAATTTGAAACAGATCTTGTGACCAGTGCAACCATAAACAAACAATAACAATAGTCGTATCTGGTGCTTGCAAAGCTAGTTACTGTGCCGTTTTTCATGAGTTACAAGTACAGTCTATGCACTCGTTTGAAAATTTTTACAGAGTGAAATTTAAGACGCAAAATCATTTGCTTCTAATATACACTCTGTGGTAATTTTCCACTTGTAGTCGCTTATCGTGGCCTCGGTTGTTTGTAAACAACAAATTCATATTTGTAGTCAAGCAAGTTTGTGTTGGCACGAGGGAGAGTGAGAGGGAGAGGCCAGAGAGTCAGAGAGAAAAAGTTAAAGTAGAGCAAAAAAAAAGTATGAAGCCTAGAGCGAACCGGGTCAGATCGGCTGTCTACAACATCGATAGACTCCATATAACCGTAATCGGACGTTTGAGCGCCATCTATCGGCTGGTGTATTCTTAAGTTGTTTATCTTTTATTATTTATCAATTTACTAGAATCGTATTCTTATAAACATATTTAGGGTATAGAAATATCATTGATATTATTCACCATGATCAATATATTCTGTCGCAACCAAAAAACTAGAAAACAAGAAGACAATTGTTTTTTTTAGACATTTTTTGTGTTTGTATATTTATTTATGAAAATTTTTTTTATTTAGCTTTGTTAATATTTTGTTATGAACCTATATATGTAAATCCAATCTTTTAAAAATTGATTATATCTTTGCAAAACCAAAAATGGTACGTTTAAAGATCGTAAAACAAATAAAACGAAGACATGTTTACTGTGATTTTTTCCATATTTGTTGAAGATAACTTAACAATATATACTTAGGGCGTTAAAAAAAATAATCCATTCAACTCAAGGCACCTAGCCGTACATAAAAGACTATTTCAAAATTCTGCTTAGCAAATTCGAGCACATTGGTGGGAGCTCCTACAGGTTAAGTCCTATTTTAGACAAGATCTGGTAGATTCCCAGTCCCGCTGAGAGGGTTCCGATCGTCCCCAACTGAAGGGCTGACAATTTGCCGCCCCACAAGTAACCTCTGGGCAGAATGCTGATGGCATGGACAAGATCGAGGGAGATGCGAGCGAAGGACACCACATCCTGGCGGTTCAGCTTGTCGCGATTCATCGAATAAGTGCGCAATGTCCTCACGAGGTTCAGGTACACAGAGAGGACACTGAAGATGGAGCTGACATAGCTCCAGGTGTTTTTGTTTCTCAAATCCAGCACCTTGTTATCGGCCAGCCAGCAGATAATTTCAATGGGATAGAAGATCACGTCCACCGCGTTGGACATCACCGCCAGTAGGGCTGTAATACGATCGGGTTCACCCTCGCCCAATCCGTACTCCAAGGTGTACTGTATCATGGGGAGGTCGTCGATCAGTCGCAGAGTGGACCTGGCTCCCGAGATTTTCGAGCTGATGGTGGCACATTTTTGGGCCAGCGCTGAATTTCGCTTCGCATGATATCCTGCCACCAACTTGGCACTTTGACACAGCGCCTCCATCAGGACATCCCGACCGCCGTAAGAATCGATGAGACCACAAATCTCGTTTACAAATGTTGTCATAATGGTTAAGCGGGAAGGCTTTGAAATGCTTTATGTGAGGTTGTTAATTAAACTGAAATGCAGCGAGACTAGCCATTATATAACCCAACGTCGATAACAGTGCGCGGATTTTCAAATAGTCGATTGCATTGCGTTCTCTGGTTACGATTCCCGGTTCGCTCTCGGCTTCTCAATCTTTTTCCATTCCTCTTCACTCCTCCAACTTACTTGCGCATGGCTTTGTTCCCTCTCGCTCTCACCTGAATCAACTCAATCTTCTTTCCCACTCGTCTTTAAAATCCATTTTGTTATTGACAAACAACCTAGAAAACTATGGAAAATTACCACAAAATAAACCACATATAAACAGAATTTTTCGTTAGATTTCATTTTGTAACGATCTCAAAAATTTTTCACCGAAAGCGAAGACTTTACATGTACTAAATGTAAAATTGTGGAGGAACTGGCATTGTAAGCAATTAGTCAATAGTTCTTCTACAAATGACATTTTTAAAGACTACACAGTGCACATTGCATTTTCATTTCTATTTTTATGATTTTATATTTTTATACCCTTGCAGAGGGTATTATAATTTCAGTCAGAAGTTTGCAACGCAGTGAAGGAGACATCTCCGACCCTATAAAGTATATATATTCTTGATCAGCATCACTAGGCGAGTCGATCTAGCCATGTCCGTCTGTCCGTCCGTCTGTCCGTCTGTCCGTCCGTCTGTCCGTCTGTCCGTCCGTTTATATGCAAACTAGTCTCTCAGTTTTAAAGCTATCTGCATGAAACTTTCCCAAAAGTTGTCTTTCTATTGCAGGTAGTATATAAGTCGGAACGAGCCGGATCGGACGACTATAGCATATAGCTCCCATAGGAACAATCGGAAAAATAAATGAAAAAAAATTATAACTTTGCTGTTTTTCAATTTTTTGTTTAGTTCTTCGACATTTAGTAATGGTTACATATTTCCGATTTACGATTTAAATTTCATCAAAATCGGACGACTATAGCATATAGCTCCCATAGGAACAATCGGAAAAATAAATGAAAAAAAATTATAACTTTGCTGTTTTTCAATTTTTTGTTTAGTTCTTCGACATTTAGTAATGGTTACATATTTCCGATTTACGGTTTAAATTTCATCAAAATCGGACGACTATAGCATATAGCTCCCATAGGAACAATCGGAAAAATAAATGAAAAAAATTATAACTTTGCTGTTTTTCAATTTTTTGTTTAGTTCTTCGACATTTAGTAATGGTTACATATTTCCGATTTACGGTTTAAATTTCATCAAAGTCGGACGACTATATCATATAGCCCCCATAGGAACAATCGGAAAACTTAATGAAAAAAAATTATAACTTTTCTGTTTTTTATTTTTTTTTTTAGTTCTTCGAGATATACATAGTAATGGTTAAATATTTTAGAATTACGTTTTAAATTTCATCAAATCGGACGACTATAGCATATAGCTGCCATAGGAACTATCGAATAATTAAGCTGCAAATCATCATAGCTTCAATGTTTTTAAACATACACGCAAGTAAATCATAATTTAAACGTTTTAAAGAGTATTTAGTTTTTGAAATAGCTGCAAGGGTATATAAACTTCGGCTTGCCGAAGTTTGCTTCCTTTCTTGTATTGTTGTGATCTGATTGCAATTTGGGTTGCATTCCTATGAACGGCTTCCCGGCTTCTGAGCTATTATTCTTCCCACCCACTTGATCCATCTGTGTTACTCATTGAGAGAAATTTCGCATAAGTGTGCGAATTGCCGATAGATCCAACTACACAGTCTCACAAATTCACTCGCTCTTTTCTTCCAATTGGAAGTTTTGTGTACGTGAACGGGAGGGACAAGCGATCTGTTGTAGTGTGTGTGTTTTACAAGCATTCACAAATACCACCAAACTGTTCACCGCTCTCTTGCGCTCACTATCTAACTATTGGTGTGCTTATACTTTTGCTTGTGTCAGTGTTTCACCAGTGAACACAAACACCATTAAATGTTGCAATGCTCTTCGGAGAGTGATCAGCTGTTGGATCAGCTGTTTGGGGACTGGTCTCCTGAAAAGGACCGTTTAACTTGGCTTATTTAAATAGGCTAAGGGAATAAAGGAAAAATCAAGTATAGTAAGACTGTACTTTTTAGGAGGCAACCTTCTAGAATTTCATCACCAAATTCAGAGTTTCACAAGCCCACATATGTACGTAGAGAAATACAAAAATAGAGGAACAACAAATACGGAGGTCTTCCACGAACGGCTATATACATACATACATACCTTACACATGTTCTTATGGGCGTATAAGTATAAGTATGCACTTGGCGATATGGCAGCGCTCAATGCCCATCTCTATCGCTCTAACTGATCGCCTCGAACCAGCTGGGTATAAAAGCCAGCGATCGCTCTCATTCGGTATTCAGTTAGCAACAAGTGAGCAGACTAGCACCAGCAAAAAGCATTATCCAAGTACAATTTTCTTTACCTGCGTTCAAAATGAGTTCCAGTTCCCTCTTTGAAAACGACGAAGATGTTGCCCAGGCCAACAAGTTGTCCAGAAAAGTCAAGGAATCTCCCTTTATGCTAGTGGGTATTGCCGGTTTCGTGACCGCTGGTTTGGTTGGAGCCTACAAATACCGAAATCGCGGATCAATGAGCACCAGCGTCTTCCTAATGCAACTGCGTGTGGCTGCCCAGGGAACCGTAGTCGGATGTTTGACCGCCGGATTGGCCTACACCATGGCCAAAGAGTATCTGCTGCACGAAGAGCCAAGGGAAAATGCGAAGCCAGTCGACTAAAATGCCTTAACCCTTGAGTTTTAGAAAAGTCTGCAAATTGAGTAAACTACAAGTGCACCTCCTCGAAGTATTAGCCACGTAATTGTATTATCATTGTAAATTTCATTCTCATTATATGTCATTAAGTTGTAAATCTATAAAATAAAGATTGTTATTTACTAAAGAATTAACACCAATCCGTTACTTGGTGTATTTTTGTGTACATTTCAACCAAGGGATTAGAAAATAAATTTCTTAAATGAATTCCATTAATATCATAAAAATGTTATATTATATATGTTACATACATATTAAATGTTTTTTAAATTTTTAAAGATTATGACATTTAATAGAAATGGTTGGAAGGAGGCCACATACAAGTTCTCCGTATTTGTCTGAGACTCGTTGGGTGCCTTTTCCGTTTAAATCTGACAAAATTGGCTAAAAAATATAAATCCCTTGAGGATTGCTCTTCCAAACAGGTGCACCAACTGATCACTTCCCAGTTGATCACTTTTTAGCTGATATCACTTCTCAACCGGATCCAAACATAAACAGAGAACCAGAGAGCATTTAATTATTAATGGTGTTAGTAAACAGTGGGGAAACACTAACACAAGAAAATGTATAAGCACACCGATAGATCGACAGTGAGCGCAAGAGAGCAGATAATCATTGGGTGGTATGTGTGAACGCCTATAAAACATGCACACTACCATAGATCGGCAAACTCTCCTGTTTATATACATAAAACGAGCCTCCAACTGGCAGAGAAGAGCGAGTACAATTGTGAGACTGTGTGGGTATATCTATTAAGAATTCACACACAAGTGCGGATTTCCTCTCAATGGCTCACACAGATCAATCAAGTGGGTTTAGGCATTCGGATGAGTAGAGTGCTGGCTCAGAAGCCACAAGACAGTCCGCAGGAAAAGAACCCATCTTAAATAAAGATCATTGTAGTTAAATATCTTAACTGGAATTTGAATATGCTATGTGTAACGTGTGGGAAGTTTATTTAAGGAAAAATCGAATTCAGTGTTCGTATTTTAAAATCCAGTTCACTTTCAGTATTGCAAGCAGCCTACGCAAACCTTGCGTTGTTACAAAGTGAAATTCAAAACGCAAAAACATTTGGTTCTATTATACAATTTTTGTGGTAATTTTCCATTTGCCGTTGGCTATCTTTTTCAGTGCTGTTTGCTGTTGCTTTCAAATGTATTTTGTTGTCGAGTGGGACGCAAGATAGTTTACGGGAGAGAAGAGTGAGAGGTAAAGTTCAGTGATAGGAGAGTGATAGAGAAGTAAACAGAGAGGAAATGATAAAGAGAGACAAAAAAAATAGAGCGAAACGGGTTTGATCGGTGCGCCATATCATCTATAGACTGCAATAACCGCATTGCAATCGAATCTTTCAAATTTATCGCCCTCTATTGGACGGTTGACTACCATAATATTGCAGAACTCAAGTCTATTAAATTTGTTTGAAAATTTTGAGGTATTTGATCTACCACTACCGGAAAAAAAAATTGTTGAAAAAAAATTAGCTTTAGGTGCATTGATCATCAGTCAGAAGAAATAGCTTCAAAAAAAGGCAAATTAAAATGTATAATAAAAATATTAGCATTTGTGGCCGTTGCGGCTAGATGTCCTATGGAGTCATAAAATGGCTCGAATACGCAATTGTGTACGACTCACCCGAAAGAATTTTTATACTCCGCTCGACTTGGAAACTGTTTAACCAGTTTTAAAGAAGAGCTATAAACTGGTAGAGCTATATAGTTTTTATCATTCTTAATACCGCTAGAAAGGTATTTCAAAATGATTATACAAAATTTAAATTAACCGCCAAGAGTTTTATACAAACGCAATGGGCAATTTATTAAACAGCTACAACAGAATGTTATCATCGTTTTCTTAACATTTCTGTTAGTTTCATGGGAGAGAAGAGAGTAATTGAGACGTTCCAATCGACTAAAATCTTTTGTAGAGGTGGTGAAGCATGAATGTTCGCAGACATCGATGTCTTTGGTGGAAAACATCGAAGTAACCGATGTTTTGAAATTAATAAATATCGATGACATTCGTGTTGGCATCGATGTTTCTCCACCACTAGTTTAAAAGTAAAAAAGTTGTAAAGTCGAATTCGTAGATTTAACAGCGCATAGCCACTGCTCGAAGGTAAATATATGCAGATATCACCGTAGCCACGTTTAACAGCTTCAAATGCCAGCCAAATCGAATTCACCAGCTTCAATAGAACCCCAACAAAAATCATTTGCCCCAGCTAAAAAATAAAATTTTCTTCTCTGTGCGTGTGTGGCTGTAAGTGTGTGTGTGCGTGCTGCATGCATATGCGTGTGAGCGAGAGAGAGTGCTGAGTGTGTGTGTGGACAGTGACTCGTTGGTTAGAAGGGAAAACAAAGAAAACTTCAGAAAAGAACGACGTAAAAAGGCATTTGCAAATGCAAAACAATATAAACTAATATAATAGCAATGTTAAGAGAGTGTAAATAGCATTAGCTAATTTGGTTTGGTTATTGATTTTTTGCATTTTCGAGCATGCAGTTTTGTAGCTGTAGTTGTTGTTGTTTTTTTGGAGCTGCAGCTGCGCGTCGCAACTGTAAAAACGCTGTTGCTGTTGTTGTTTGGGTTTTGGGTCAGTGAGTGTAAGAGTGCAAGAGAGTGCGAATGAGAGAGAGATGGACGTTGTAACTGACAAAGGACATTGCATTTTGGAGGTTGTTTGTGTTTGCTAGCGAATACCTTCCCCCTTTCCCCCCCACCCGTCACGTATACACACACAGCATCTGCATCTGCATCTCATCTGCTCTCTCACTCGTTGTTCGCTCGCTCTCTCTCTCTCTCTCTCTAATCGTCCGCTGACTGTCTCTCTCTCAGCCTCCTTTTGCAACCACACCACAACAACAGAACAACCATAACATGGAGAACATCGAAGAGGCCCCACCACTCTCTTCGGAGAGCAACAGCAATAGCAACAACAGCAGCGCCAGCAGCAGTTCCCACCAGCTCTCTCAATCGGCGGGTGGTGCCATGGGCGCCGAAGAAGCCCCCTCTTCGTCTCAGTCACACTCCCGCTCTCATTCGCCCGCCCCCTCTGCCCAAATCGTTCCAAATCCAAATCCAAATCCGAATCCGAATCCCCCCCACCCATTGAATCTCCCATCTGAAATGGAGGCTAGCGAGAATTCACCGCATGATCACTCACCCACTCCTACTTTCCACCAGACTGCACCGCCACCCACAACTCCATCGCCGGCACCGCAGCGGGAAGAGCGTGAGCAGCAGCCCCATCCGGACTTACAGGACCAAGGGCAAGTTCAGCAGCAACATCCCAACCAGGATCAGCAGTATCAAGCATTGGAGCACCAACAACAGGATCAGGCATTGCAAGACCAACAGCAACAGCAAGCATCGCCGGATCAAGAGCCACAGCAGCAATTTCAAGCATTGGCATCACAGGAGCACCTTGACCTGCAAGATCAGCAGCAGCAGTCCCATCGGGAGGAGCTAATCCAGCAGCAAGAGTTGGCCAGAGAAGGCCAGCAAGCAGTTGAAAACCAGCCACAGCCAGCCAATCAAGAGCTCGATGAGCCACAAGTTCGGGAGCCGGAAATCGAACCAGAAGCCGAGCCACCGCCACCGCTGCTCCTTGAGGAACTGGACGAGCAGGACTCGGGATCGCAAGATCTGAACGAGCAGCAGCCGGCAGTGATCATTGAGGCCAACGCCATAGCCGAAACCATAGACGCCAACGCCGTGGAGCGCATCGACGACTACGAAGAGGACGACGACGAGGAGGTGGATGAGGAGGAGGAGGTGGTAGAGGACCGGGTCGATAGAGCCGCTGAGGTCCCATCCGTTTCCGGTGCCGCAGGCCAGCAGCGTCTCCATTCGGTGGCCGTTTTGCCACGCTACTCGTCTGCCCGTGCACCACGAAGCGGCGGCAGCAGCAGCAACACCAGCAACAATAACAACAATAGCAGCCATAATAATAATAACAACAACAACAATAACAACAGCAGCAGCAGCAGCGGCGGCGGTCTATCGCGACGCACTCGCCATTTTTACAGCAACAACGGCAGTCACTTCAGCAACGACATGTTCCCCAGCCACGCCCCCCGCAGCAGCACCCAAACATCGCCCAGGGTGGGAGGGGGAGGTCGTCGCCAGCACTCCACCCCGGCTGCCGCCTCCAATTCGCCACAGCACCAGGGCGTCGATCCCCTGAGGCTGCTCTATCCCAATGTCAACGAGAGCGAGACTCCGCTGCCCAGGTGCTGGAGTCCACACGACAAGTGCTTGTCCATTGGCCTCTCGCAGAACAACCTAAGGGTCACCTACAAGGGTGAGTCCGATCTGAGGATTGTATTTTCTGTATTTACATCCATATTGTCTCTGGGGTTTTTATTTTTATGAAATCAGTTTTTGCTATTTTTTGGCTTTAATTATGTAGTTAAATGCTGCAGGAAAATGTTAAACTTATAATTCAGATTCAAGTTTATGATACCAGTTCTTTTTCATTACAGTTCTTTGGTTGTATAATATCAAAAAATATTTGAAATCAGATCAACAACTTAGGGGCCATTATCTGAAATAGAAAAAAACACATTAATGGTTTCAGAATTGTAGTATAAGCAAGCGAAGAATGCGACCTTCATATTTGGATTTGAAAGTCTGTACCAAATAGTTAATATTAGACCAAATGCGTCTTGTCCGATAAGTATGGAATTTGGTCCTAAATATGTAGTGGGTCAAAATTTGAGAAAAGCGATCAGGTTAAAAGACTGTCCTTCAAAATGTTTTTGTAATGCGTATAGACCCTGAGTTTTAAATATACCTGATACAATGTTTTGTCAAATATGACTTATAAATAAGAACCGTAAGAATTATTTTCTACAACTGAAATGTTTAGTAATTTGTGTTTATTTTTTACTCCCCATTCCTGAAAAATATATATGTATATATATTTAAAAATGAAACACAGAATAGTAGCAAGAAGAAGAAGTGTATCAAAGGTGCATTTGCAGTTTTACGCTCTCCCACTGTTTCTCTCTCTCTTATTCACCCACATAGGGCACACATGCAGGTGCTCTCAGCTGTGTGCTGGTGGTTTTGTGTTTTTCACTAGACACTTCTCCCACGCTCATTCGCGTGGCTGTTAAATCGTTAACAGAAACAGCTGGCCTAATCAGTGTAGAATCACGTGTAGAATGCATGTAAACAGTGTACCTTACCTCAGTGGAGAAGTAATGTATTTCTACATTTGAAAATTTTGATTATTGTATAAATTGTTTGCATTTTAGCATTGTTTGTTAACCATTAATGGTAACCATGATCCCAACACTATTAACACTCTTCCAGGTGTGGGCAAGCAGCACAGTGATGCCGCCTCCGTGCGCACCGCCTATCCGATCCCGTCCTCCTGCGGACTGTACTATTTTGAGGTGCGGATCATCTCCAAGGGACGCAACGGCTACATGGGCATCGGCCTTACTGCCCAACAGTTCCGGATGAACCGCCTGCCAGGTTTGTGTTGCGTTGTGCTGCTCGGCGAGATGCCCCCATGATTCCTAATGACCGCACCCCCCATCAAGTAGGTTGGGACAAGCAATCGTACGGCTACCACGGCGACGACGGCAACTCGTTCAGCTCCTCCGGAAATGGCCAGACCTACGGGCCCACCTTCACCACCGGCGATGTGATCGGATGTTGCGTTAATTTTGTGAACAACACGTGCTTCTACACCAAGAACGGTGTGGATCTGGGCATCGCATTTAGGGACTTGCCGGTGCGTATCTACTTGAATCTTATAATCCTTTATCCTATAAATTATCTATGTGACTATTTCCAGACCAAGTTATATCCGACCGTTGGCCTACAGACTCCCGGCGAAGAGGTGGATGCCAACTTTGGCCAGGAGCCTTTCAAATTCGACAAGATCGTCGACATGATGAAAGAGATGCGCTCCAATGTGCTTCGCAAGATTGACAGATATCCACATCTGCTTGAGACCCCGGAGAACCTGATGAATCGGTGGGTATAGTTAAATCCCTTTCACTTACATTAAGCGTGATTGTAAGATCCGATTTATTACAACCCATTTTGTTTTCCATTTCTGCAGCCTGGTTTCCACCTACCTGGTGCATAATGCCTTCAGCAAGACCGCCGAAGCCTTCAATGGCTATACAAATCAGACCTTCGACGAGGACTTGGCATCCATCAAGATACGTCAAAGTTCGTATAAGTCTCTGCACTTGTAGAGCAATAAAATTAACTAAAATTAACCATCAATCTTGCAGAGATCATCAAGCTCATACTGACGGGCAAGATGAGCCAGGCCATTGAGCACACCCTACGCTCCTTTCCCGGACTTTTGGAAAATAATAAGAACCTCTGGTTCGCCTTGAAGTGCCGCCAGTTTATCGAAATGATCAACGGAGCCGACATTGAAGTGAGTCCCCAAGTTCTTTGTCAAATAAAATGAATATTAAAGAGAGAGAGTTGTTTTGATAGAATGTCAACAACAAAGTCACAGCCACCACCCAGACCATGCCCACAAACCAGACGTCCGTGATACAGTCCACCAAGGCGTTCAAGCACAGCAAGAGCGGCAATGGCAATGGCAATGGCAATGGCAATGTGAACATCAATCAGACTCAACAGCAACCAAACAGCACTGCGATTCCAGCTGTGATAAAGCCACAAGGCACCGACAAGCCAGATATAAAAAAGTATGAAATTCTATATATGTATATATATAAAGTTTCTGTGTATGTTTAAACCTAAAATTGTTCCTTTAGCATGATGGTTGATGACAACTCCAACAAGTGCATGGAGCACGACAGCAACAGCATGGACGTGGAAATGGAGCCCTGCCAGAGTCACTCCAACGGCGGCGACTCCTGCTCCAATGGCAATGCCAGCGCAGTGCGCAATTCTCTAGATGCCATCGACGAGGAAATGGGTGAGTAGATGTGGCTTACATTTCCTGGAAGATCCGTAATCGCCAGCACTTGCAGATGTAGACGTTTCCCCCTCGTCGCGCAGCTGCGGTCGTGTCATCGAGAAGATCCTCGAGTTCGGCAAGGAGCTGTCCTGCATGGGCCAGCAGCTGGAGAAGGAGAACCTCATGACTGAAGAGGAGCGTCAAATGTTGGAGGTACTGTTTATCTTGCATATTGTCCATATTAAAATGTGTACAAAGTTCAGCTTTCAAAGATAATTGGTTTACGAAATAACCAATAGAGTTGGTCGATTGACAAATCAAGTTTATCACTATTTTTCACAACCCACAAGAAAATAGTCAAAGTATTAAACTATTTTCTACCGATTTAATTAATTAATAAATTGATTTTATTGATGAATAAACTGCATTAAATTGGTAAAGTGCCATCGCAGTTATTTAGAAACGCAGAAATAAATTTAATTATTTATTTATACATTGCTAACTTATAGTTAAAACTTAAAGCTAGCAAAAATTGTGATTAACGCAGACATAAAATAGATTGAGAGGATAGCAAATCCGATATTAAAATGAACATTGTCTTCATCTAAATAAAATTATATCCTAACAATTATTATATAGTTATCATATAGTTAACTTAGCATATATATTATACATTTTCAATCGCTATTGGCACAAAGATTACTTATTTATTTACCAAGAGTAGTATAATTGTCTACAGAATGCATTCCCCATTGGAATTTAGAGCTCCCAAATCGTCCCTATCTTATAAGCATGATTTAGAATATATTAACAGAGTTCGTATACTTATGTATGTTGTGTTCGCAGGATGCATTTAGCTTGATTGCCTACTCAAATCCCTGGTCCAGTCCGCTGGGCTGGCTATTGTGTCCGTCGCGACGCGAGAACGTTTCCACCACCCTCAACTCGGCCATATTGGGTGAGTCCTAATGGAAGCATTACTTTTTTTAATTCTAATAATCTATAATCGATTATAATACAGAGTCACTGAACTGCGAGCGCCGTCCGCCGCTGGAGTATCTGGTGGCCCATGCCGCCGAGCTGATCAAGGTCATTGGACAGCACTCGCTGGGCGAGGACGCTTTCATTACCATCGACGATGTGTTCCCGCAAAATTGACCCAGTTCGCCGACGCTGCTGAAGATGTTCGAGACCACGCTGACCCTGCCGCGCACCAGTGTGCTCACGGAACCGTTGGGCAGCGCCGGAACCGGGACTGGGCCCTCCACCTCAGTGGCCGTTCAGACGAGCAAACGGCGACGCCGGCGACGGAACAAGCGACGTCGCAAATCCTCGCTGTCCAGCAGTACCGATGCTCCATCGTCCCGCACCTACGATCCCGTGATGACGGGCAGTACTTTGCGCTCGGCGGCAGCGGCGGTGGCGGCGGCATCGGTGGGGGGCGCTGGCGTGGGCGTGGGCGTGGCAACGGGGACGGGACCAGTGCGTCGGGGGACTCGGCGCAGGAGCGGAGTCAGTTCATCTTCATCGGCACGACAGGAGGAGGAGGCGGCGGTGGAAATCTTGAGCGGCAGCAGCAGCCCATCGATGTTCGTCGATCCGCAGGACTTCTTCGAGACGCTCGACTAAATCTAGATTATTTACAATTCGTAGTAGGTTAAATTTTGTTGTTACTTTCGTTCTCATTTTTTATCCGCGCGCCAAACCGGCTTCCGTGCGCCCATTTCAAAATAATTGACCGACCTTCTTTTAACTGTTCGATTATGCTAAAGATGCGATGCGGCCTTTGATTTAGCGTGATTTTGAATAACTTTTAACGTATATATTTTATATAGCCTCTGTAAGCATAAAGTGTGTAATATTATGATGTATAATTAAATTTTGCGAACTGTGCTGCGACACGACCCTTGAAACTGATTTAGTTTTTTGTTTTTCGCTTCCACCGCCCGAACACAAAACACACTCACACACACAAAACACACGCATACACTTCACAAAAATATAATCTAGAAACGATATTGAAGTGTACTAGCTTAGTGCAAAAACCAACCATGTTCAACCATCTACTTAGCAAGTTAATAGTGAACCGAAACCCATAGTTGATTGGTATAAACCAACGTAGACACTCCGCGTTCAAATTTTCCCGTGTTTTCGGCGATTTTCGAAGGATTTCGCCGTCATCATGTGTATTGTGGCAAGACTAAGCAAAAGCAAATGAACATTTTAAGTGTAAAATTTCGCTATAGTGATAAGCATATTAAAAATTAATCTATATATACAAGATTGGTCATACACACATACGGCAAGCATGAATACAATTTAACTGGATAATCGTTTAAATATATTGTATGGATGTGTATTTCAGGAAAAACTTAAATGTGATTTCTTATGGTGGGAAATTGGGTATATCTCTTTATATCTTTCTATATCTGGGCACTACACAATGGTTTACTTAACTAAACTTAGTTGATCATTTTTTTTTTAAGTGAGATTTCAAAAGATGGGAGTAAATATAATAAAACAAAATTTTTAAACATTTAACAATAGAAATTATTTATTTTTCTGTATAAGAAGTAAGAGATTAATACGGGAAAAAATGCAAAACTTAGCCAGTTTAAGAAATCATTTACATTTAAAATATAAAATTTAAAAAAAAATTACAATTGTATCTTACAATTTAAATTATTGAAACCATTTACATTGTAATAGTTTAGTAATGTCCCAGCTAATACGTTTATAAGATATACCGTGGTAAATAGTTAATAGGATTGGGTGTTCTACAAATCCGGCTGTCTGATCCTTTGAACCTTCTCGTGGTTCTTCACGTGCTCCTTAAGCAGCCGCATTATCTCCGTATCGAATTGCGGGGGCGTGGGCTTTGTTTCGGTGGCCCAGTAGAAGATGTCCCAATCGTTGCTCACGCCATTAATTAGCTGATCGTATTCGGCAGTCTGATCGGCATTGAAATCCTTCAGGTGTTTGGCCACAAAAGTGCTCAGCAGAAGATCGTTTTCCAGCATTCCACGCTTACGGCTCTGATACAAAAGGCTTTAAGAAGATAATTAAAACAACGATTTTTATGTATTTGTTTTATGATCGGTATACCGCTGCTTTCGGGTTTCGAGGGGCTCATCCAAACGGACAGGATATTCCGGAACTGGCAAATGCGTGGGATCATCGTAATCAACAATTTCCCCCGGAGTTGTGTACTCTGTTTTGTCCAAATTGCTGGCCAAGCGATTCTGAGCGATTGATGGCAATGCCATTCGACGCCCCAATGTGTTTAACTAAACAAAGATATATAAGCAACTAATTGTGATTGAATTAGATCATTAAGCTCACCAGAATTTGCCGCAACATTTTGTGAAACAAACAAATTATAAAAACAATGATATAACGACAGTGTTAGTCAACAACTTTAAAGAACATTCGGAAACGATAGCAGCATGCTATACTAATCGATAACAGTTACCATAAATAGTACTGGTAAATGGGAAGAGGTTTTAAAAATGCTATAAATTATATTTAGAGTATGGATTGTTTTGTGTATTATTTTCCTTTAGATAGTATAAAGGATTATTAATTTAAGAATTGATTATTTTGCCGTCCTTTATTTCGTTAAATGTTTATAAATTATTTTACATCTCAAAAAAGTTTATTTACTAATTTAAAGCAGACCAAAATTAAAAGACGATTAGATTGTGTAGATAGTTTTTATATTATTAATTTCTTTATTTATTTGAGCCTCTAGTGCGACAAGGTTAGATCATCCCATATTGTTTTAATTCAAATTGAAAATAGTACGGTAGAACTAAGCTTACATGAAAATGATTTGTACAATTCGAATGCTGTAATTACAGTATTCTTGTAAAATATACTTAAAAATGAAAAATATAAATGTTGCATCATCTTAAATAAAACAAACATAATATTTTTTTTTTAAGTTTAACTCAAAAATTTTTTAAGCTTATGGCAGCTGTTGCTCCCAGTGTTGGTCAGCACCCACCCCCGCCGCCACCAGTGCTGCGCAACGGCACCGCCAACAGCTGTTCCCCACTCGCGTTCTGCAGTTTGAAAGAGCGAACGAAGCGAGAGAGAGCAGCTAAATTTTCGCACACACGAAAAGTGCAATTTACTAATATCACTGCGGCCAAAAATACAAGTGCAAGTGCTCGGGAAGTGCAACGGTAAATGCCCACGATCGGTGCAACAACATCGAGTCGCGAATAAGGAACGCAAAGCAAGCAGAACCAATAAGAAAAGGCAAAAAAGAGAGCCTCCTGCACACACACACATGGACACATATTTAGGCAGCAGAAACAGAGACACGCACACACATACACTTTAGCGGTGTGTATACATTGCTGGCTGGAAAACTAGGCGGTGGTAAATGTGAAGCTGAAAAAAAGTAGAAAAAATACAAGGAAAAGGAAAACTCGTGGGGTGGTGGGTGATGGAAAAGTGGGCGGGGGGTGTGGCGTGTGCAGCGCGTGAGAGTGCGTAGCGCGTGCGTGTGAGTGAGTGCGCGAGTGCCAGTGTGTGTGTAAGTGAAACAGCGACAAACTAAATGAAAATTTATACACTCTAAATGGTTAACTGTTTGTATAAATAGCGCATTAAAAAAGCAATATTTTTTGCATAATTTAATTTCTCAAGACACCTAATGGCGAATCACCAAGTTCGCCGCCTTTTTCCAAATAGCCGGCTCTTTTTTAGCGCCTACGCCCACGCTTAATACATACACACAGCAAATAAAACAAAAAAAGGAAGAAAAAACACCACAAAGCTATATAAAACATAAAATGTAAAACCCTAGGGAAAGGAAAGCCTCAAAAAGTGAAACTCAAAATACAAATAACTATAAACATAATCCAACAGCCCAAAACAAAAATTGATAAAACAAATTTTATAGTGCAAAATATAAAATCATAATCCAAAACCAAAAAAATGGAAATTCTGACCTCAAGACTAATTCACTTACATGATAAATTACCACCCGTTATCTCGATCCAGTGATATCTGTTGGATTTATCTTATCAGCGCGATTGATGAATTTTGTATCGATATCACAAAAACATGCTCCATATGCAAATTAGCTGGGGCTATCATTGCTTTTGCTTTTATTTTTACTTTGCGTCTGCTGATAAAAACCAATAACAAAAACAACATAATTGAAACAGTGCGCGCCCTATTGGACACAGAATGGCGGTCATAAAATTAGGACGACGTCTTGCTTAACTCAGGACAGTACAAGCCATGAAGATAGAACCGTCTAGTTGATGTGTTATTTTTTAAAAAATGTTTATCGAAATTAAAAATAATAACAATAATGCTGATCTTTACGTGTTCATGTTTTTCTCTTATTAAGTTCAAACAATTTCAAAGAATTGAGGAAGGGCATCATAAAAGATTCAAAATTATTATTATAATTTATGAAATCAAAACCTATAAATTAAATTCGATTTTCTTTGCCACTTTATAAAATTTTTGTTTACTATTGTGATTTGTTGATGAAAACAGGCTTCTATTATTTTGAACAGAGCTGTTTATAAATCCAATGACTTTCATTGGTTTTCTTTATCGAGTGTGCACTGTTTACAGTGAGTCACTGGCTTTTCCGTGCATTTGTTATTGTTAATGGGTTCAATATTCCATTTCAGTTGAAACCGTAAAACTGTACATAAGCAAATAAGATAAAAAGAAAAAGTCCAGGAAAATTGGAAAAAAAAAAACGATTAACAGAAAATCCCCGTGTAAAACCAAATCCAAATCAGAATCCAAATCACCCACACAACCACAATGGGCTGCACCACATCCGCCGAAGAACGCGCCGCCATACAGCGATCCAAACAGATCGAGAAGAATCTGAAGGAGGATGGCATCCAGGCGGCCAAGGACATCAAGCTCCTTCTGCTGGGTAAGTGCACTTTCCCCACCCCCTTGATTTTCCATTGCCGGATGTGGAAATTCCGCTTCGCGCTTACCTTTCCACTCGAGCGCGATTCTATTGTTCTATTTCAAGGGAAATTGCTGGTTTATCGGCGGCCAGAATCCGGAGCACTTGAGTGAGTGCTTTGGAAAATTGTATTTTCGGTTTTATGTGCCGATAGATAGGGGAATATTTATTGCACACACTTTCACTCAGCGGCCATGGTAGCGGAAATGCTGAATATGCAAAGCGATATTTTACTTTACCCACTCTAAAGATATATCTAGCTTTGATAGCGTTAAAAATTAAAACCTTATAATTGAAAAAGCTGAACAATATCTTTAATTTTCAGAAATATAGTCAGTACATTTTTCAAATTACAAAAATTATAAACCAATTTTATATTTATTTCCTCTTTAAATCGCGTAAAAAACTATTCATGAAAAGAAAAAAAAAGTAATAATTAAAAACAAGACAATAATTTTTAAAAAAAGATTAACATTCTTTTTAGACTACTGAGCAACACACATGCAAAATTATATACAAGTGTTCTTTAAAATACCATTCAAAATATTTAGTTTAGTTTAAGTTTTGCCAAGTGTTTCCAAACTGACAATTAGTTTGGTTTCGATAAAGCAAAAATTCTATTCCAGCAGAAACTTCAAAGCTATTAATGTTTAACTTAACGACTTGTTGCCCTACAAACAAAAACCCACTCAAGGTTTTACGACACTTTTCGACTGATGAGGCTTCGATTACATGACAAAACTGTTCCTAGCATGCTTTTTATGGCCAAGGCGAAACTGAAGCAATAGATTAGGGTCAACTTTTGGGTGTTGCATGTCGAATAGTTATCCCAAACTAAGGTGTACCCATGAACCACTGTGCAGGCAACATTGTGAACAATGGGCAGCAGCAACAGTTGCATCTGCCTTTGTGGCAGGCGAGTGTGAAAACTAAACACTTTCGAGAAGACATGTGGCTTGTGGAGCCCTCGCCTTGATTCAAGTGGTGCACTCGGTACAGTAGTGATGGAGGATACAAAATCCTCTTGTTTTGATTAAATCCCAAAAATATACCTATGAAATGTTTACGATCTATGCTATAAACGACCTAGGTTTTTGTAAGGGCTTACCATGAAAATTAATTAAATTTTTCCCCCAATGCTAAAGATTAAAACCAAAATAAGTTTCTTTTAATTTTATAAAAAATAAAGCTAAAATATATTTTAAAGTTTTGAATAGTTTTGTTCAAGACATACAGATTAAATATCATTTAAACCAACTATAAATATTCTTTAAACCCAACTTAATGTACAATAAGTAATAAAAAAAGGAGTATTTTAAATTAAAATTGTTTTATTTAACTATCATAAGCGAAGGAAATTCAAATACATCTAAGGTTAAATTTGATTAAAACGGAAATAATTTTTGTTTGTTTTAATAAATTTTGGATTTTAAACGGTTTTGTGAAAACATACATATATCCCAGATTTTCTAGTGCAACATCGTTATAATGTTTTATGAAATTCAATTGCATCACGATTACGCATATTGTTAAGTAATGAACTTTGTGAAAATGTATGTATGTGTATAGCAAGATGTTTGTCATCTCCGTTGGGAATCAGCCCACATGCAGCCTTAGCCTTAGATTTAGTCAAGTGCGTCTGCATCCGCCAAGGAATGAAGGCAATCGTCGCCACTTGACATTGAAACAATTGCACGTGGGTGCCATGGTGGATGCAACATGCTTTTGGATGCCAGAGTGTTTGTTAACCTGCTTGCGCCAGTGACACTGAAATGTCAGTTAATGCTATTGACTTTGACTCGCCCCAAAAAAGAGATAAGGATGCAGACAGGCAGAAAAAGGACAAAGCTGCAACCTACACGGGAATTTCTCTTTCACTTTAACATCATACACAAACATGTTACTAAAATAGGTACACTTAAAAAAATCACTATTCAAAATTCTGATGAAGTTAAACAAATCAATTTTTAAAAATACTTTTAATAATTAAAAAAAAGATTGCATATACAAAATTAAAACTTTATTCGATAATATGTCTTAATAACATTTTATATATTATTAAATCAATGTCTCTATAAGAAAAATGAATTAGTTTACCCAATGCAAAAACCACTTATGAAAACGAATAAAAATTAGGTATGTTACAGGCCATGTTAAGCCCTTTTAAACACTAATTTTTTAACTTAAATTTTAGCTTAAAAATTTTTTAGACTTGTACCCATGTTTTGCCTGTGTAGGCGGATTACTTTGTGCACAGTTACTCGCTGTTGTTCTGTGCATTCAGGCAAAACTTTTAAACGCCCTAACAAGCAACAAGCTACAAGGGGCAGAGTCGAGTGGAGGGAAGTGGATTGCAGGCATGTTGCAACAAGCCCCACTGAACCGCTGGGTGGTGGTGGGGGTGTTGGCCAAAAGGTGGTGGAAGTGTGGGTTTTCGGAGAAGAGACGAATGGCAGGCGGAAGCATCGAATGGCGGCCAGGAAACACTAACGAAACAATGGACGGCACAGGACGGAAGGGAATGAATGAATGGAACATGTACAAGTCCTGGGTGTGGCTGCATACTTCGCAACAGCACTGTGGGGTCTCGAGTGGCGCCTCCTGGCGGAAGTTTGAAGAAACTGCCACTTGAGGCATACTTTTCAAGCCAAAGGTTATTAAGGAAACGTTCGATGCTCGTTTGTTTGCCACTTTTACGAGCCCTTGTGCTGAGTGATATGGCTAACTGAAACAATAAAAAACAATTTTGCACTGAGCCGAACTACATAAATATACTACAAGTTTCTCGCTAAGTAAAATGTTTCTTTAGCTGACTCTAAATAAATATACTTTTAATCTCGAAAGAAACGAAACTAAATAAAGGGAAAAATACTGCTAGTTATGGATTTTAAATGGAAAAGAACCTCAATTTAAACCTGAACAACAAATTCTGTTATCTTTGTTGATGATAAAATATTTCTATTGTTATCAGAAAGTCAGAGTGTCCAAAGTTTTGTTATTGATAACCGCTTAGTATCCCCTTACTAAATGAATGTGTGCGAATATCATTTTTGCATAAAAAAAAGGTATTTTGACAAGTTAAACTATTATTTTTCAGACTAAAAAACGATATGGTTAATGAAAAGCGGAACTGCATTGGGGACTCTGGGGAATGTTAAATGCTTATTCGCCATTTTCTGCTTCAATTTATAACCATTTTTATACCCTTGCAGAGGGTATAGGGCATAGAAACGATCGAATAATTCATCGGAAAATCATAAAGCACTTCTTTATAGCAGTTGTCAGCACACATACTATAGCATGCTCTTTGTGGGAAAAAATTGCAATAAAGTTATGTTATGTTATGTTACTTATTTAAATTTTGCAATACCTGCAAGGGTATCCAAACTTCGGCAAGACGAAGTTTGCTTCCTTTCTTGTTTTAAGTTATTTACTGCGTTGACCTAAGCAATTCTAAGAATTACTTTTCAGATTATAGACCTGTAGGGACCTACATATCAAGACATGTTCTTATGAAAAGTAGAAGTCATTCGACATGGGATCTAGGGAATATAAAAATTTGGCTTATCACACACAAGACTTCCTCTTTTCTCTAAAAAATATATACATATAATTATGTATTTGGACACGTATTATTATTTTCCAATCGATTTTTTTTTTGTGAATACTGGACATTTAGAGAAGCTATCGATGGCCCCATCAAATCTAGAACATTAAACAAATGTAACAAAGCAATTAAGTGTCTGTCCGCTTCTCCAAACTCTCAAAGCTAAACAGCCCACAAAACGCCAGTAAACAGGCTCGTTAAATAAACTATAAAAGATGCCAAATAGAACACAAATCGAACTTAATTGAGCAGAGTCAAATGTCGCCCGAGTGCCAAAAGGCCCCGCGACCTGCAACCCGTAAAACGCCACGGAAAATGGAAAATGGCAATGGACGGACGAATGGTTGGATGGTGGGGGGGTTTGGGGGAGGAGGTGCAGATTGTTTCAGTAGAACGACAAGTGCACAAGTGCTCCACTTTGCCGCTGTCTGTCATTCCAAAGAGCGAAGAGTTCGCGTGATAAAAAAAAGTTGTCAATTTGTTTGCTGTTTGTCGTTGGCTGCGGTTTGTGGTTTCCCTCTCCATGTAGTTCACCCTCTGCTTCTGAATCCCAATTCATTCAATAATTTCATTTGCCCATTCATTGTTTTCAATTTTTTCTGGGCTGCCATCGTTTTGGTCCATATTCGCACAGTGATAATTTAATTAAGCTCGTTAGGGGATCGAGGTGAAAACAGGGGTTCCCTTCCAAATTTTTTACAAAGATCATTTTTGTAAGTATGTAGTAAAACATTCTGAACTACAAATTACATATTTGCAAACAAAAATATTATATAAATAAATAATAAATTAATAAATATAAATAATGCCAAAAAAGTCTTTTTCAGAAAGACTCACTTTGACACTTTTAAAATATTATATATTATATTAACATTAAAATCAAAAAAAAAGATTTTGATTTTTCAAAAGTTTTTGTTTCTTTATATTTCAATTGCCCTTTTTTTTAAATTTATTTTTGTCATGCCATTTGCTTGTAGGATGTCAAATTGCCTATTTTCTCTTAACTCTTTGACACGGAAACATGGAGGCCATTATTGCCGCCTTTATCCGACTTTGAAGGGGTTGGTGGCGGGGCGTAGCATTCTTCTGAAAATCAGAATTTTCCCAGAAACTTACTTCTTGATTGCCCCTTGGCAAATGCTTTGAATCAGGATGTCACCACTTAATTGGCTTGCTGATGAGTTCAAGGTAAAACGATAATTATAAGTAAGGGAATAGAGATTGCATTGATTTCCTCGAATTTGTAATTTTGAGTTAAGTTTTCCAAATAAGTGCAGTGTGTAAAACCGTAGTTATATATAAGATACATTTTTAGTTAATTTATTCCTTAGAAACTAAACAAAAAGTTGGCCTTATTTATATCGATAAGTTGTGATTCGTTTTTTTATTTTATTAAATTTGTATAGGCTCTTTGTTGTTTTTAGGTCATACGTTAAAAAATCGTTCCCTAAAACAGATCTCTTAACGATTTGAGCGTTTTTAAAGTAATGTAAGTTAGTCAAAATAAAGTAAAAAATGTTTCAGAGATCATATTTTTTTCCCTAATACTTTTTTAAACTAAGTTTTTTTCTCAGAATGGGCTCACTTTTAAATGCCAAGAAGTTTTCTACCTTAGGCGTATAATCCATAGGTACGGGCATTGAATTAACGTCAGCCGAGCTGTGCTGTACAATTAAGCATAACTAATTGCCGACGATTTGCCAGTTTGATGGCTATGTCGGTTCTCTAATTGGGCCGCAATGCCTTTTTTTATGGCACCGTTAATTGATTTACTCATAATCAATCTGCTCGTTCGCCAAGCTCGATTTGCAGTTGCAGGTAGTGAGCCATTGAACCATTCAATCAAAGTTCCAGCGACAGAATCCCATCAATCGAATCAATGCGATTGTTTTATCTAATGGATATTTCCCCCGATTTTCCGCTCTACCGCTATGTTGGCGTGGGCGGAGAAGGAGGAGAACACAGAATCCTGCTGCTGCTGGCCAACTGTTTTGTGCTAATGTGCTTTGGCTTGGCCCATAAACGTGGCAAAGTTCTAAAGCCGTCGACTTAATTGTGTGCGAGGAGGGTAGCATTCTCCATTTAAACTGCAAAGCCACTTTAAGTTTCTCAAAAAAAAAAAAAAAAAAAAGGAAACTCGCGTGGGCGCACTCGTTGATTTGGGGGTTGTCCTTGTCGTGTGGCCACTCGCTGTTCTGCGCAGACTCGCTCGTTTCGCTCTTGCCTCTCTGGGGTTTCCAGTAAAGCAAGCGCAGACGCCCTCTACTCCTCTCTCTCTGGAAGCTTTCACTATGTGTACTGAGAAAGCTCGCCTCTTTGGGCGGCACCACACAAGAGAGGGATTTCTTCCAGCACATCCAGGCACACAGTTCCGTTAGTTCAGTTGAATTCCGCCAGCTCTCCAGAAAACTCGCACGAAAGGGAGCTATAAAACCGTTAAATTGGAGTTCCTAAACCAACAAAAACGTTAAAAAACGTGTTAATTGTATTATAATATCCAATAATTATGTGTGTAAATTAAAATGTTGTGAACAATTCAGTTTGGCGCTTAAATTAGTGACTTTGCAAAAGTGGTTCATCCCTTTCCTCTTTTTTGGGCAACGCATGAATCATTTAGCCTGCTGGAATACAAAAACAAATAGCTGCCAAGTGTACAAAAGAAAAGTTTTGGTTGTGCTTTTCTTATTTGGCTGAATCAACAAAAATTCGCCTCCTTGCGTCAGCATGTGCCCATTTTCCAGTTCTCTCACTCCCTCTCTCTTGTTTATGGCCACTTGTAAGACAGCGCGTGAATGAAAATTGTTTAAAAAGTGGAGAAGTTTCCAACAATATAGCTATTAATGATAAATATAATCATAAAAAGCTATTATTAAACAACAAATATAAACATTTCATTGCTGACTTTATCGCAAAGAGAAACAAAAGTTGTTGTCTTAAGGTATTGATTTTTTTGCCATATTTGTAGGCATTTCGAATTTTGGTTAATGAAAAACACGCTCCTTAATTACTTGGCTCAGAAAGCCCTCGCCTAGAGCTTTTCCACTCGCTACTCACTCTCTCCCTCTCTTTCCTAGTCTCTAGTTTTCCTAGCCAAAGACAACAAAATTTCCCGCAATTTCCAGCGAGTAACAAATTTCCTTGCTCTTGGACACGCGAATTTTTTCAGTTTACAATTGGACTCTACCGTTAGCGGTCAAAACGCGTATCCTTGAGGATTCGCAGTGCGGATCAAAACAAAATGCGCAGATAAAAACAAACTGAGTTGTTGGGTGACATAATAGCATACTATTTTGCAGTGGTAAACAAACTTATTTTGAGAGTATTATAAGAAAAACCCTAGAAAGGAAAAGCAAAAAAAAAGTGAAAAGAAGTGCAACAAAACCAATAGACAAGCTAAAAGCAAACTGAAAACTTGAGTAAAGTGACAAAATCCAATCCCTCGGATAACAGAGTTAGTTGAACCCTCCGAATTGTTTATCCCCGCACATTGCTCACCTGGTTTTCTTCGCTGGCAACGTAGTCGGCCATTGAGTTGGCCGATACCAAACGACCTTCAAAACGTTTTGCGTCGAGGCAATACGCACCATGGGCTGCGCACAGTCTGCCGAGGAGCGAGCCGCAGCCGCCAGGAGTCGCCTTATCGAGCGCAATCTCAAGGAGGATGGCATACAGGCGGCAAAGGACATCAAACTCCTGCTGCTCGGTGAGTTTTCGCACTTCCCAACAAGGCAAACCAGGCAACACGCGAAATGAACAGGCAACATGCATATTTAATTTACGGCTGGGCTAAAATTAGTGTAGCATACTTAGCGGCTGCCCTGGCTGCTCATTAAAGCCAAGATGTCCTTAAACCAAGCTTCGGTTTTATTTTCCGTCAGATGCAGCCTTGGCCTTTGACCAATGCTATTTGTGGTCGCTTCTGGAAATTTATATATCCGAGCATGACACTTAAAGGTTCTTTTTCAACTTAATTTAAAATTTATTGATAAACTGAGAAAATTATTTTGCCTAGTTTAACTTTGTTAAACTATTGTGCCTATAATCCGTTATTTAATACATTGATAACGTTATAGAAAGTCTTTCGCAGAATCAGAATTTCAAAACCATCGGGCTTTACTTTTAGTTTATTTATATTTTTAAAAGACCAGCCAAATTGGTTCGAACAAATAAATATCAAAATCCTTATCTGTAATTATGTATGCTGCCCTAAAGATAATTCTTACAGATCTTGGCTGTTTAATAATATCAACTTTGTTGTTGTGCTCTCTCGTCTTGGCACAGTTCCCTCTTAGTGCGACTGTGAATTGCCATAAATTTAATAATCACAACAATATTTTTTATGTATCAGACAAAAAGTTCAAGGTCAGTTGGTTGCGGGTGAATCGCTTGGAGGGTTTATGTGTGTGTGTGTGTGTATGTGTGCAAAAGTCGCGCAAATAGTGTGCGCATATGTACAATAATATATGGCAGCTGATTGTAATTGCAATTGGATTCCGAATTGTGATAAGCGGTCATAATAAACATGTCCGCTGGGAGGCATTACCAAATGAAAAATAGTCGATGCATCGGCATAAATAACCTTTGCGAGTTTTCCGTACAAATTGACCAAATTTGGGCTCTTAACCAAGGCGGAATATGTAGGAAAATTGCATTTTATTTGTTCGCTCGTCTGGGCGAATGAGTAATTTCCATATTTTCATATACTTTTCAGTACTTCTCATCTCCGGCTGCATATTGAACCTGCCGCCCCACTTTGCTGTTTACATTTCGTGTATTTCATTTAATTTCCTCTTTGGCTCGGACTCAGCCGAAAATGTTTGGCAGGGGGAGAAGATTTCAATTTCTGACAGTTTTGCGTGCGTTTCAGAGTAAAAATGTTCATTTTCAGGCAACACCCACTGCGTGTGTACTGGAATTGTTTATTTAAAAAATTTGTTTCCTTTTTTTTTCTGCCTTGCCGTGCGCATCCAAGAATTCATAATAATAATCAAAGCAACACGTAAGTTCGCTCTATCTCTTTCTGTTGCCGAATCTTTTGTTTTCCTGCAATCGACGGAGGCATTAAATTTAAGCACTTTGCCTTCGATTTCCACACAAACAAAACATTAATCTCAGGTGCCTACTCAGTCCCCCGATTGCCTCTATAAACAACCCAGGGATATTTCCCTGTTCGCTGCTCTTGAGTTTTTGAAATCTAAACATATTCTTTGCTTTAGTTTTTTTTTTGGGTGCATTTTTTCCAAAGAATATTTTATAATTTTGTAAAGATGTGTGGACGTTTTCAAGTGGTGGACAATGAACTCATTATTTTGTTGAATGGTTTTATTAAAAAAGAATCAGGAAATGTAATTGGTTAAATTCGGAAATAAAAAGTTGGTTTATATAAGAGTATGAGAATGTATAAATTATTTTTGTTGATATAAAATAACCATAATAAAATATTTGAAGATATGTTTATTACAACTAATTAGATGTAGTTAAAAAAGATAAACTAGGTTATTCCATACAGCTAAGCTTGATTCAATTTAATTAAATTTATTGCAACGACGCAAAATGAACATTTAACTTATAGACTATCAGAAAATGTGAAATAAAAAAAAGCCATATAGATTGTATACTAATATTAAAACCAACAAATAGCGGTCATTTAAAGCTTTTTAAAGTTGATTAAAATGAACCGAATGCAATTACCATTTATCAAATTATGCCATTTTCCCAAGGACAGCTTAGCTAAGCAATTTTCCAGCCGAGCTCTTAGCTATCTCGATTATCTCGTTTATCACAAAACCCCCTTCAGTAGTCACTCAATTAACAAATTGCATTCAATTGGATGAAAATTCTGCTAAAGTTGCAGCTTGCAAATCCTTCAAAGCAACAAAAAACGAATAAAAATAAAACGTAGACGAGGAAAAGGAGTCTATATGGTCGCCAGATGACCAGGGCCAAACAATTAATCCTTTGTTTGCCATTTATGGTTGCCCCCTCTTTGCGTTTTTCTCATTTCTTTTGGCCGACGGCATCTCGAGATGATACATTGACGACGGACGATGATGATAATCACGATGTGGGTGGGTGGGTGTGTGCTCAGAGGCCATTAAGCCCTACTTGAGGAATACAAAGCACAGACATTTAGTGCTCGAGAACTAAACGCAGCATAAATATTTGCAACCCTCTAAGATCTTTTGTCGGCGCCGATAACCGCATAACCAGACGCATAAAACCCCCCCGATACTCGTATCTCCACGCACCACTAACTTTTGCCATCCACTCTTTACTATTTTTTTTTTCTATTTCTAGGTGCCGGTGAATCGGGCAAGAGCACAATAGTCAAACAGATGAAAATCATTCACGAGAGCGGCTTCACTGCGGAGGACTTTAAACAATATCGACCGGTTGTCTACAGCAACACAATACAATCATTAGTTGCAATATTGCGCGCGATGCCAAACCTAAGTATTCAGTACAGCAATAACGAGCGGGAGGTAAGCCCCCCAATGAGTCCCCATTCAGTCCGTTCACATCCACTAAGCTTGGTTTTTCCTTTTCCAGAGCGATGCCAAGATGGTATTTGATGTGTGCCAGCGGATGCACGACACCGAACCCTTCTCGGAGGAGCTGCTGGCCGCCATGAAACGCCTCTGGCAGGATGCCGGCGTCCAGGAGTGCTTCTCGCGCAGCAACGAATACCAACTGAACGATTCCGCTAAATAGTGAGTACAACCAATTTTTATACACAAATATTTAGCCACGCAAAATGGGGTGTGAAGTGAAACGGGCAGATGGTGGAGCATATTATTTTAAATGGTGTATTTTTAATCAGTTGGATAACACGTAGGCGGCAAAGAACAAACCAATGGATGTTATTTTAATTGGTTTATTTAAAAGCGTTGAGCAAACTGGCAACTAAAGTGAAAATTGAATTAATAGAAAATTTTAGCAAGTACAAATTAACATTAAAATCAGAATAAATACAACTAAATATCATTGTGATAATTCCTGAAGTCAGGGAAAAGCTTTAGCTCTTTCATAAATGTTTAGGACAGCGCATTTCAATACTCTTTAACTTTCCTGGCTAAATTAAACTTTGCTACGTCACGATTGACCTTTCCTATAAATGTATTTTAAGCTACATCATTATGACTTTTGAATACGTGATGTATTGCTCTTTAAATTGAACTTGTAATTTAATATGACTGGATTTTTCTTTTCTACATTCTAAAAATAAAAATTGTTTGTGCAGCTTTGAGGGAAATTTTAAACTCCCTTTGATACACGCTTTTAGTCAGAATTAAGACGCACGACTTTAAGAAATTTCTTTAAAGTTAAGACCGAAATAGAATTACTTTCAAGATTGACCACACACCAAACCATTACACCAGCAAAACTAATGATACACTTAATAAAAACCAATTAATCATGAGCATAGATTGGCGTTTGCTTGACCTTAGCCATCACATTTTGTCCTAAGCCCAGTCGCCCTTTGATTAATGATAATGCCAGACAAGAAAAACAAACAGAAACACCATTTTTATTGCATACTTTTCGACGCTTTATTAGGTACAATTATTCTTCGAGAAAAAAACTACAACTAAATATGGGGGGGATTATAATGGGTTCTATATACACATGTATCCACATAAATACACAACGTTTATTCAGTTACACGCACCCACATAAATACGCTCGTGGCTATGGGATGTGCTGAATTTGTCGGGACTTTGTGTTGTATGTACATTTGCTTAATTAAAAAGAAACATCGCAGCAGCAGAAGCAGCTGGGCTCTGACTATAAATATCACACATCCGCCGTGTGTCACTGCATCTGTGAGGCTGTGGGGCCGAGCTCAATGTAGAGCTCTCAGGGCCTCCAGTTCCCTTTGGTGAGTGTCCACTCACTCACTCGTCCCTCAGCGTTAGCTTAAAATTTAGAGGAGACTGCGGGATGTACGTGGAGTTCACACGGTACACAAACTCCCCGGAATTGTACGAGACCTTGTATTTGCGGAAGATCTGTTCCGAGAATTAAATATGGTAAATTACAGGGGATAGCAAGGGGAATAACCAAAAATAAAACCCACCTTGGCCAGCAGCGTGTGCAACTCGATTTCGGCAAAACGACGACCTACGCACATGCGACGTCCAAAGCCAAAGGGCAAACTCACAAACGGGTGAATTTTCTGGCTAGCATGGGGGCAACCAGCTGCAAATGAAGGCAATTTCGTTAGAACACTGGAAATATGGGTTTCCTTTCAAGTAGTTGGGGAAATTATTTGTTTTAAAAATGGAACTTCTATTTGTTTTTCTTGGTTTAGAGGAGAGACACACAGAAAAATTTTCAATAAAACTAAACTATTGAATTTTAAATTATTGGGCATGACAAATGTTTAACAAGATGAGTATCAATACCTCGAAGATATAAAAACAAAAAATTTGTGTCTTAAAAAAAGGGCATTAAACTTATAGAAATGAAACTAAAAAGTATAGGACTTATATTATTTGGTATTAACATCTAATAGTTTATTTTCAAGACAGACTTATTAAATCTCAACTTTAAGTTTTTCTTTTGGGTGTAATTTACTATATTTGGGCTTAAAAAATGGTGTACCCACAAAAAGTACGTAATGCTTTTAACGAACGAAGTGCCTGACATTTTATAGTTGCTGAGTAGTCGACCAAAGCGTTCTTTCTTGCTTAAAGCACATTTTTTAGTGACCAAATTACCTGCATCTGCCGCTGACTGTTTGAGCCAGCGCTCCGGTAAAAAGCGCTTGGGCTCGGGGAAATATGCGGGATCGTTTGAAACAACCAAATGGGGGAAGATAACGTGCGTCTGCAAAAAAAATGAGAGGAATGAGATTGAAGTGGCTGTCCAAATGGTCACTCTTGAAGGGAAACTTACGCCCTTGGGAACATGGTAACCATTGATGACAGCATCCGACTGAAGACTTCGGCCATTGGCAATTACCACGGGTCGCATACTACATGGGCAAAAAGGTTATCCCTTAAAAAGGTGGCCTTGAACCAATCAAAGAGAGTGCCCTCTTACCGTAGAGTCTCCTTCACACAGGCACGCAGGTAGGGCATCTGCTCCAGGACATTCTGGTTGATATCTGCATCGCGATGGGGAAACACCTTTTGTAGCTCATCGAAGAGTCGCTGCTGTTTGTCTGGGTTTTTGGCCAGCTGATAAATTGTGGACGAGGCGGCCACAGAGGTCTGCAAGATAATGTAAATATATATTTATTAATTATAAAAATAATGAGTTCGCCTTTGAGCTTACCGTATCGACTCCCACTAGGAATAAATCCAAAGCCAAAATGGCAGCCAATTTTCGATTGCCCGTCTTTCGCACTATTCGTTCCACAATTGAGATATCCGCCTCCGATTTGGGCAAACCCCTAGCCTCATCGGCATCAGCCTTGTCCATGGTCTTGCCAATGTTTTTCATGCAAATTCTAGGTATAAAATAATGTTTTAATAGCTTAATTGATGAATTCTAAATGTAATTATTAACTAACTTACGCTGTGAACTGATCCAAAGCCTTGACGAAGCTGCGGTATGCCTTGGTGGGATATACTCGCCACAGGGGCATTCGTAGCTCCAATTCTGGGACAGCCCAGAAAAATGTGTTGATAGCCTCGATGATCTGTTGGGCCTCTTCACTGCCTTCAGGCGACAAACAGCCCAACCTTGTATCTAGGGAAACGCGACCCACAGCTGAAAATGGTTAAAGGATATAAGTACCTTGAAATATAATTAAAATAGTTGGCTACTTGTTCAACAAAGCGGACGTGGAACCAACAAGTTTTAAATAATTACAAAACTAAATTTGTTCTCTACCGTAAAAACTACGTATGTCGTCAGCTAAAATGTCCAATTAAAAGTTGACAAACTTTGACTACAAAGCTGAGATTGAATTTACAAACATTATAATTCCTTTATGTTCAAACTAAACGTACTCACATTGTATGTTAAACAAAGTTTAAATATCCAGAGAATTGGTTTAAACATGATTATTATTTGAACACACATTTTTGTATTTTACATAATAATAAATTTAAAACCTTGACGTGCAAGGGCATATACCAATTTCTTTAATTAGTTTTTAACTGTCAAAAGGATATAAAATCCAAGTCCTTGCTTGTCCAAAGTGTCCTGAAGTCATTATACCCTAATTACCATTGCAATATTTCAATAAATATTGCCAGCAAAGTGTCATAATCGGATAAGTAAAATGAAATTGCAACAACTTACATTCCAAGGCCCATTTGTAGAGTTCGTGGAGGAAATTGGCTGGCAGCTCGTCCTTTTCGTCGCGCATCAGCTCAATGCTGCAGTTGAATATAGAGTATATTTAGATTGCATAACAGTTTGGCAGCGCGGATGCTTAGGCTCAGACTTACCGGCCCATAAACTCGCTGGCAATGTCGTTTAGCGGCGGAATATACTTCTTGGCCGTCTGCGGTTGCAGCAGAATGTGCTGCACCTCCTGCCTGAAGGCCTCCCACTTGGGTCCGTGTCTGGAAAAGTTTGAAAAGAGGGTGGATGTGCACTCCGAATGCCCGCCATAATATCCGTTATATAAGCACATTACTTACACGCCAATTAGGCCGGCCACATCGCCAAAGAAATCGCGTCGCAGGTCGCCCTTGTAATGGCGCAGTGAGGGCATCGACGGTCTGAGTTTAGCAGCAAATAAAAAATAGGTTTTAAAAAAATGTTAAAAGGGTGCACAGAAAAAAATTACATACTTAAATTACTAAACTAAATACATTAACACTGTTTTGTAAGCACTTAAAGGCAATGCTTTAAGTTAAATATAAATATTATTACAATAAATTAAATTGGTTGAAGATCTCACGTAATAAAGTAATAAGTATTTAAATATTACTATAAATATTTAATATTTATTTAGTTACTTTATATTTTTCATTGTAATTGATATTGAATAAAAAATGTTGCTTCAATTTTGAACAAACTTGATTTTTCTATAGAATTGCACACCTATTGAGAAAAAAAAAGTTGTGTAAAATATATATTTTTCTTTTTGTTGAAGATTTTTATTGTTCCTTAATCTGAGGCTCAGACGAAGAAATTTCATCCCTAGAAACCTCGTAATAATGAGCAATTTTTGTTAATATTTTTTTTGCCATTATGCATGTGAGCTTGTCAGTGTATGGAATAGCTAGAACCCCGCCCCCGTAAGCCACCACACCGCCCCTTTTGAGGTCGCTTGCCCTTGCGTGCAGACAGACCGGCGACGACAACATCAAACACAAATTCCTACCAAAGCCCACACAGAATGAAGCGGTTTCTATCCTTCTCCCTATTTCTATACCCCTTGATGTATGTACATACATATATAGCAACTCCTATTTGCATTATATTTGTCTACTCGCATGTCACAGAACAAATAAGAGAAGCGTATTTATTGGCTTTTGTTTTATGCACCACCCTGGCCAACAACTTAGCCAGCCATTTGGCGCGTTTGACTTGACTGTTGTGTTGTCGCTCGCTTCTCACTGACATTGGGTTGTCCTAGGCAACAAAGCGCTCAATTAAATGCGAGATTTAAGTGTAAATATGTAAATTTGTCTATTGTAAAACGTCAAGAAAACTCAACCTCCTGAATGTCTATAAAATAAGTATATTTTGCATCGAATTATGTAAATTTGTGTACTAGCAGCAAGTTGGCAAGAACGTAATAGTTTAAAAATAGGCAAAAATGAATGAACTCATGGCAGTTAAACACAAGAAGATACATTTCGATGTACATAGTTTTGTTTAAATATAAAAATGTATAAGAAATTGTAAAATTTATAATTTGCTTACATGTAAGATTTAAAAAAAAGGGATTTTAAATGTTGCGTGATAGAGAAAGGGCATAAAATGTATAAAAATCACACATTTGTATAGGCCTAAATATATGTGTGTTTTGTTTATTTAAAAATTTCACACTAAATCAAGAGTGACGTCTTCGGAATACTAAACACTTGACCGGGAAGCCCAAGAAACTCTCTGTGGACAATTCCGTAACTAAAGCTTTTCAAGTTGACCCCAAGATAGTCACGATCCAAACTCTAGTCTGAAATCGCTCGCATACCTTTTCCGAGTTAGATATTCCCACACACGAATCGGCATTTCTCTCCGAATTTTATGGGCCTCGTAAAAAGTCAACAAAGCCGACGCCTCGGGCACATGTATTTTGTACATATCTCTTGGCCAAATATGTTCATCAATCAGTTGGGCAGTTGGTCAGTCAGTCAGTCAGTCATTCAGATTGTGAGCAGTAGTTAGCTTCACACTTCTGCGATGGCAGATGTTTCATTCATCAATCTGTCTGCCGACCAACGAGCCAACATTACGTTAATGTTGTCTCATATCCAATCTATTAGCGATTCTTTTCAGTCATTTTAATGATGACTTGCTAAATGTGCTCGCCATTCGCAAACAATAGAGTGTTTGGCTTTTGCGGCGTCTGCGATTCGCTATCGATCCGTGTTGTTGTCTATAAACTACATAAACTAAACTATTGGATACAAAAACGTAACTTGTTAAATTTGGTTCATGGCCACGGCTATGCCGCAGATAAGTCCGAATGATAGCGAAAGGCGGAGAAAAGAAAGCTTATAAAAGTTATGGACATGTTAGCGATCTGTGTGACTTTCGTTTTGTTTGTTTTTTTTTTCCTTCATCATTTCGGTCATTTTTATTTATTTCTATGATGCAAAAAAAAAAAAAACGCTTGTCGGACTTTGTGAATAGTTTGTTTTGTCTGGTTTTATTTCGGTTGGATCTCATGTTGCTAGGCCTACGGATCGGTTAGGCAAATGAGAAGTGAAAGTTTCAGCTAAATTCAATTTAATAGGTTATTTTTATCATGCGCAAAAAACTTTAATCTTTATGACATATTTTTCGGTATAAACATTTATTTTATAAATTATTTAATTCTTATGTTTTCTTAACGTTCATTGGTAAAAGAACTCACAATGGAAATAAAATGTTTATGCCTTAAACACCATTTTGATTTAAATTAAATTAAATTGATTTTATATTTTTTATTTAAAAGTAATATTTCTCTAGCTACATTTATTAAACATTTAAAAGAAGACTGTTTGTTATGCATATTTAGTTTGCCTGGCAAACAAAGGTAATGGAATTTGCACCTCCCACGCTTGAATAAATTTCGTAACAACTCTATTTTGAAAATCTGCAACACCGATTCCAATCTGTCACAATATTTTCACGCATTCTGTTTAATCCGCATCCCCGGTGCAATCGCCATTTTCCTCCTTCGTTAGTTAATAATTTAATTACAGGCTGCATTCATTCAATATGCGCATAAATAAAAATGAACTGCATTTGCAGTGGGGCTAAAAAGAGGGAGGTAGGGCTAAAATCGCCCATGCATAACTGACTTGCTGCGGATATACATACTACATATATATACTATATGAGCGTGGGCTTGTGCACATATGTGGGGATTACTGGTAGTTCAGACCAAGTGCAGCCATGCAGAACATAACTATAATCTTGGGTTAATAATATATTTAATAAACTTGATTAAACCTTTAAAAGGGGGGAATATACCATAGTTTATAGTTTATGTCATGTTTTTTTTTTAATACTTCAGTACGTGTGTTTTTCTCTTCCGATATAATCTTAGTTCGATTATATATTTGTATCAAGATTTCAGTTTGTATAAATCAGTCCTAACTCCTCTTTTCTTACGATTATAAAACATGCCAAAGACAATCAATCATACCGAGCAGACAGGTCACATGAGTCGTATACGCAATTTCGCACTATATCATCGAAGGATGGCAAAAATTGATTTATCACTCACCGGTGTGGCATTGCCTCCTCCTTCTTGAATATGTTGCGAATCTCGTCGCCATCGAAGACGAACAGCAGATCCGGATGGCCAATCAGACCACCCACTTTGGCCATCTTCCCATAGTTCACATGCAGCTCATTCATGACCTTGTCCAAGTCACTTATTTTGTATGTTCCTGCCGGTGACAACCCGTTTATTAGCCCTCCCTGTCGGAATTTCCCGAAAGCAAGGCGAGTACTTACCAATTAGGGGAGCAAACCGCCAAGAGTTGCCAATCAGTGGCAAGGGATATGGGCCCGGCACTTCCGAGTAAGGACGCACTGCAGCTACCGAAGAAGTCGTGCCTTCTGCCGGTAGAGCGGTTGTTTTTGCCATAGTAATGGTTGCTGCTGCTGCCACGGCTTGTTGGCTGTCAATTAGAATTAATTGAACGTAGTAAAAGGGAAACAAGAAAAGAATCATATTTATTTTCATTATTTTGTTCATACTTTTGTAAGAGCTTCTACTGAAATTGATGACATTTTATTAAGTTAAGTTTTTTAGTTTCACAACTTTTTTACTTTAATTTTTTTATATTAATAACAATATAAAGTTTGAGCAGTCAAAATTGTATTCTTATTTTTAAGATCTGAACTTAATGAGCAAAAATGTAGCTAAACGTTTAATGAAAGTCTTATAATATTATTTATTTTATATGTAAAATGAGTATATGTTCAAATTCAAATTGAAATTTGGTTTTAAAATAAGAAGAATAAAGTATTAAAGTTAATCTATTAATTATATATTAATATTAATTATTAGCAGAACTTTATTAATGACCAAATTAGATTGGTTTTTTCTTCCTGTATAGAATTTCAATGTATTGGCGTGAGAAAATTACTAACCTGACATTTAATTTCTTGAGATTTGCCGACTCGCCTGTCCGCAGTCGGTGCATTGCAATTGATTTTTCAATTTCCGTCGCCACGCCCACTCCGCTGCTGGGTGGCGACACCGCCCCACCGCCACCCAAGTGCGGCAATGTGGTGGTGCTGGAAGTGGAGCGTCTCATCAGCGCAATGGAGGTTTTGCGTAAGCCCGACATCTTGAGCTTGGTCCTGCTGGGCAAAAGTATTATGTAAAAAAAAAGTCCAGCAAGTTGTACAATCTGCTGCCGGCAACTAAATTGTGTATTTATGCTTATTTTCAAAGTATTTCTTCCTGGCGGTAAAACTTTTGATGCATATACAAGTCGATTTTGCCGGGGGAAATCAATCAATAAGAAATAAAGGCCACTCGGGTTTATTATTCAAGCGATTCCCCCAGAGAATTGGTAGAGTCTAGCGCTGAAAGGCGTTCGGTTGGAGAGCAAATATTATGGCACACTCGCATATCCATATTCATTTAAACATTCAGCGCTGACAGCACTTAGTTCGAGTTAGTTGCAAAACAAAACCAAGCAAACAATCGACGATTGTCCCTTGTCCTCGGATCTCGGGGGAGCACTTTAGAGCAACATTAGGTGGTCGGTTGGCAGGGGGATTCCCATTTGTCGGCAGACTCGATGCGTTCCATTTTATGGTTGCTGCCAATAATCAAGTCGGAGTTAGCTAGCGTTAAATTGAGCCCAGCTACAAGCACTCGTAAAATGTGAATTCAAACAAAGAAAACACAAATTGAAGAGTTATTGAAGTAGCGCAACTGAGGACCAAGTCGGCCCTGGCCAACTCATTGTTTTGCTTTGACTTTGAAAGGAAGCAATAGCAATTCGACATTATTTGATAAAGGTTTTCTAAACTTCTAGCTATGGGCAAACAACTTTTCTCTCTGTTTGCGAAACTTCTAAAGAAACTTTTGAGAATTTCGTTTACCATGCAAACCAAAAGTTGGTTAGTTTTCAATCATTTTAAATGTTATTAGGGATAACATATTCTAGAATATTGGTTTACGAAACACATTACTTTATATTGTTACCGGGATTTGATGACTTGGCCTGTTAGGTTTTAAAAAATATAAAAATATACATGTATAACTTGTATTATAACTTGTATCATAGTTATAAAGATTTTAACCTCTTTTTGAAATAAAGTGAATAGTTACATTTAATTCATTTCTCAATCGTTTAAAAGTAACAGAATAATCTCAAAATTGGCTAACAATTTAAAAGTTTTGCCAAACAAGAAACACATTTTTCTAAATCTCAAACCGTTAAAATGTCAAAGCTTGATTGAGCCAACCTTTTTTTTTGACTTTGGTATGGCTTTAATTTTTCCTCCACTTTTACTGGCAGTATACAAACTCTGTTTTCTACCCCAAAAAATAAAACACCAAACTTCCCAACACACACACGCATTTAATATGAGCATTCCTTCCCCGCAGCCAGAAAAAACTGGCAACGAGGCAAGATTGCTCATACGCCGCGTATGCCGTTCGAACAATGGTGGCAGCGGCAGCGGCTGTGGCAGTGGCACTTTTGTACGACAGCTGCCTGACTCCTTGTGCGCCTGCTCCCCAAAAGGCAATATAATTTAAATGCCGAAAATTTGATGGAACAGAAATCTGCGCACACAAATCCAGCAAGCTTGCCACCCACATTTCTCCTTCTGGCCTTTTATTTCTTGTGTACACTCACTTGTGTGCACAATGGCAGCAAAGCGGCTTATCCTTGCCCTTGTCGCACAAGCGGCGACCTTGAGCTCTCGAGCGGTAGCAACGACAACGACAACAACAACAACAACAACTAAACTATCTGAGAACGTCAGCGCGGTTTTATCGCCCAAGCGGTTCATAATGAACTTGAGTGATAATCCTAGCGCCTGCGAGTAATGTAGAAGAAATGTCAAGCAGCCACTTGTCGTTGACTTTTATGGCCATTGTTCCAAAACTGGAGGCTGTGCGGGGGAGCAGATGTCTGATTTGTGGGCCGCATTTTCTTTACACACGAATGAATGCGAAATGGAAAGGAATTCTATTAGCATTCAGCTGCTAAATGAGCAAAGGTGGTTGAAAAATCCGGAACGATTATGTCACTCTGTCAGCTTGGCAAATCTTTGGCCCATCGGTTTTTGACTTGCCCTTCGAGAGGTGTGGCCAACAAGCATATTCAAATTTACTTTCACGCTGCCAGTTGCTCAAGTTTCGCACTGCAACTAGTTTAGCTGCTTGCCTAATTTGTCTGGGAAAATGCAACTTGGGAAACTCGATTACAAAATTTTCATTCGTCTATCTAATGCAGTTAATTGCTTTTTCCCTTAACAACTTTAGTTTTCACTTTGCAATTGTTCGTCTATATCTATTTTTTAATATAACATTTTGAACCCTTCTCTGGTTATTTTATTATATAATGTTCAGGTTCCAAATACTTAGATTAAAAATTCCATTAAAATCTATACAAATTTATAACAAAAAACTGTAATTTTCATTTAACTTTTAAGTTGTTAATACTTCATACTTTTTTTCAACTTTACACGACTCCCATTAAATACGTGCTTTCTTTTTGTGTTCCAATACTTAATCAATTTAATTAAATTGGCCTTTCACGCTAACAGTTGATTTCTTTGACAGCCAAGTTGACTGAATACTTTTCAAAGTGCAACTAGTTTACCTGACACGCCCGAATTGACGCTGGAAAACACCACTCGGGAAAACTCACTTAAGCGTTTGTTTTATTTTTTTTTATTATTTTACCGATTCGTTTTTCTCGGCCTGCTCTGCCAGTTGGTTGGGTTTGATATTGAGTTTAAATCAACTTGTTGCCTATTCAATTTTAGTTTGAATTTATTTGTGGTCTCTGGGTTTTTGCAAAGACTTTCAAGCCGTCGTTTGTGCACAATTAAAAACAGCTTTGGATGCCTTTTGTTATATGGATTTCTATTGTTGTTTTGGCCAATTTCCCACTCGCTTACAAGCACTCGAAAAGGCAGGGAGATTCGCCAGGTATTTTTTTTTTGTCACGCAACGCGAAGCCGCCGCAGTCGTAGGTTTATTTGTTTTTTTTTGCGGTAAACCGAATCCAAGACCAAAACCGAACCGAGCGCTATGGAGCTATTGATGGAGCTCCCGAGTCTTGAGCTGTTGCCTCGTAGACCAACCGCGACGCACTAAACGCGATCGCCGGGCTTCTTAGTCTACTTATACGCTATACGCTGAACTGCTGATCGGCCAAGTGGACTTTTGGCGCATTTTTGTTGGTTTTGTCACTTATAATATTTCTGCTAATTTCTTGCTACCTGCTGCTGCGAACTTTATCACTCTTTCTAGCCCGAAAACTAGTGGGTTATGGCTGTTATAAAGCACGTAATTTTCCAAATGAAATTGAAAGTGCCTAATAATCCTAATCAAAAAGCAAAAGTTTGTGTTTATATATAACGGTTTACCCACCCTTGATTGACATTAATGAGGGGCCTGACGAGGTTCGGATGGGCTTTGCTTTAAGGCTTGGGGGTTATGTAAAACAAATAAATTATTATAAAACGCTGCTGAGACTAACGACCCATTTGCTTGGCCAAATTGCACGCAAATCGCTTAATTGAAAAGGCCATAAAAGTTGCTAAAACAATAGTCGGGAAGATGGCAAATTAATATTTTGCATGATGGCAAATGGGTAAATGAAGTTGGGCTACAAACACCCTAGATGACGTAGAGCATTTTTTCTATTGTTAAAACTATTTTTTTTTTTCTATAAAGTTTCATATTTAACAGAAAAAAAAAGTAAAATAAAAATATCGACCGATAAATTTACATACTACCTGCAACAGAAAGAAAATTCTTGGAAAAGTTTAAGTCTTTCTGGTCAAAACAATATAATATGTATTACAATGTATTAAGTAAAATATTGCCAATACTCGATTTAATTTAATAACCAGATTGGTAATCTTTCTGAGTTTTAGTTGAATTGTTTTTCCCTCTATAATGTACAAAATATAAAACGTCTTCCTTTAATTCTGTTCTCTAAATTAAGAAATGATAATATGGTTGTCTTAAGCTCACTTTCGCTCGCAATTCGTATTAAAACATTTATGATCTACTTTGAAGTAACCACAACTTTGCCACTTGCCACACATTGCAACACATATTCCGGGCTCACAAATTGCAGCTGCATGTGTGGCTGCGGTTTTGGATCAGTAAACAGAAAAGAAAACTTTTATGATGGACATGTTAAATAAGATCACCGCCGGCCAAGTGCTAACCAAGCGACTGGTTGCCCAATCGACAAACGTATCGGATCCGTATTGCAGGCGGTCAATTAACATTTGTCCAAGAAATTGTAACAAATATCGGGGCATTAGTTTTGATTATGCAGCTTACCCCACCGCCAAACTTTTCCGCATGAAAGGTGGTGGTTGCGGTTGTGCCAGGCGACCATGACTGGGCCAATTTCCTTGGGCAACTCCAGAGGCCCTATCCAGGCCCTATCTTTTGCCAACTTGTTGGGCAATTGTGCGTGTAATTTAGGCGAAAACCAGTTGGCCAATGAATCTGATTTCAGCGCAAGAGCAAGTCAACCGAAGATTGATGCGATAACCAGCGCAGATTCCTCGGCCAGCGTCAAAAACTATTTACGACCTGTCTGAACCTGGCCAACAAATAAAATTAGCTGACCAACAAGTCTGCGGCCTTTTGGCCCTTTATTATTATTATCAAAAGGCATTGCGTGCTGGACGTTAATTACGGCCCCAAAAACACACATATCCCAACTGGCCACTGGACACATTGGCCACCTCTTTGATGACCTACTTGTTGACGCTCTTACACCCAAGCACGCAGACTCTGTATCTTTATCTGTATCTGTATCTGTATATCTAACTGTATCTGTATCTGTATCTCTAACTGTATCTGTATCTGTATCTGACAGATGCTTTTGGTTGCCATTGGCTGACGGTTACATAACCGGCAAATAAAACTAATTACAAATATGGCATGGCCTGTATGCACGGAAATAAGAACCAGAACAAGTCACGGAAATGGAAATGGAAATCATTTTCAATGGCTAGTTTCTGCAGGGAAAGCAGTCGTTTGCATAGCCCAATAATGTGTGTGTGAGTGGGTGCTTTTGCCCATTTCCCATTTCCCATTTTCCCTTTGGTCTCGACACGCGCACAGGTTTTTTTTGTTTTTAATTGTTTGCTCAGCGCTTTAGTCTGCGCCTTAATTGTTTGCTCAAGTCTTGGCAGATAGGGCCGGAAAATTGAGAATGGTTGGGTGAGAATGGATGGGCAAACATGTGTCTGGTCAAGCCAGATGTGTGTGGTGGGGAATGAAAGTTCTTTCGTTGCTAGACTAAAAAAAAGCACACTCTTTCCCTGCTCTATTTTCTTGCAGTTTCCTGGATGATTTGGATCGGTTAGGCGCAAAGGATTACCAGCCAACTGAACAGGATATCTTGCGTACTCGCGTCAAGACCACTGGCATCGTTGAGGTACACTTTTCCTTCAAAAACCTCAACTTTAAGTAAGTCACAATTAGCGATTGCAAAGCGTTATCCATTAAACTGACTTAATTTGTAAATCTTTAGATTGTTTGACGTGGGCGGCCAGCGTTCGGAGCGTAAGAAATGGATACACTGCTTCGAGGATGTTACAGCGATCATTTTCTGCGTGGCCATGTCTGAGTACGATCAGGTCTTGCATGAGGATGAAACCACGGTAGGATTGGGTTAAGCCAACTATTCAATAAAATAATTATGAATTTTAGCTTGATATAATATCTTTAAATATGTGCTTATGTTATAATATTTTCTTTTCATTTGTTTCCAATCTTGGTTCTATTTTGATGGATTTAATTTCGATATTCTTTTAAAATGTAATCAGAACTAAATTTTAAATTTAAATAAAGAAGAATTGAATTTGAAATGTAATCCTAAATAGTGATAAATTGCCTGTTGTATCCATGTCTTAATGAAATATGTATTTCTTTCCCATTAAAGAACCGCATGCAAGAGTCGCTGAAACTGTTTGACTCGATCTGTAACAATAAATGGTTCACGGATACCTCGATCATTCTATTCCTAAACAAGAAGGATCTGTTCGAGGAGAAGATCCGCAAGAGTCCCCTGACAATTTGCTTCCCCGAGTACACAGGTGAGTGGTCAATCAGATATCGCTACCAATGGGTTAGTAAGCGTATTTTTTGTGATGCTCTCAGGTGGACAGGAGTACGGCGAGGCGGCTGCTTACATTCAGGCTCAATTTGAAGCGAAAAACAAATCAACCTCAAAAGAAATCTACTGCCACATGACGTGTGCCACAGATACCAACAACATTCAGTTTGTATTCGATGCTGTCACCGATGTCATCATAGCAAACAACCTGCGCGGCTGTGGACTGTACTAAGGAGGATTCGCGACAGTGGATCCCGATGATGATGATGATGATGGCGATTACGATGACGATGTCGATGATGTGGAGCAGAATGGGGGCGTTAGCAGGGAACACCGTAACGGTATTAAAGAGCAGCGCGGGAGCACAACAACCCACCAGCATTGATCAAAAACCAAACAATTTAGGAGCAGATGATAGAGCCAACCAACCAACCAATCAACCAACCAACCAACCGCAACCACACAGAAAACACAGGACACTGAACACTGAACACTAAACAAGCAAAGCCCAAAGAACTTTTATTTGTTTAACAAAAAAAACGGCGGACGAACGGAAATCCCGGACGGATGATATGGATGGATGGGAAATAAGCGACAAGTACATTACATAATAATAACGAGAATATCGATGCAGATACACAATGCTAATGATGATCAGGTCGACAAGCAGCTGACACTGGAACACGCGAGAGAAGTCACATTTGAAAATTTGAGAATTAAAAAAAAGGCAGTTGATTGAAAGGCATTTCCTATATACATACATATACAAACACATACATATGCATTATGCAAAGCCACATGTACGACATGACACTAACACACTCACACTCACACGACATACACAAGCGCCAGCATTGCATAAAGTTGTTGTTTGGTCTGAATAATTTTTATAGAATTTCATAATTTATGTGTAGTTTAGTTTCCTCATGTATTTATTAAACAAAAACCAAACGAGCGTATATCTACATATACCGCATATATATATATATATATATATACATACACTTCTATACATATATATATATATAAATATTATATATTAAATGTTTCCTGTTGCAATCTCTCTTTAAAATTATTCATGCCATCAACGCTCTGCATTTGTCATGCTTGTTTAGACTTAAGTTCGAAAGTTTCAACAAAAAAACCAGCGGCAATGGAAATAATAATATTAATTTGGTTGCGTGTCAGCGTGTGGGCTAAAGTAAATATTATATAACAAACCAAAAAAACCAAAACAAATGAGGAAATGAAACACAAAATATGGAAGGCAAATCTTTAACGTTTAAGTCTAATTTAAAGATAAATGAAACGGATATAAAACGCTATCTATTGTATTTACAAGAACAAAAACGAACTAAAATCGGAGAAGAGTCAAGTCAAGCAAAGTATATGTGGCCACTGAACTAATTTATGTAAAGAGCAGCAGTAAGCAGCAGCCATCGATGATTGATTGATACATTTCAATGTAAATTGTAATTTGTTGAATTTACGTGTATAGAAGAAGTTTAGCTGGCAAACACACAAACACACACACACATACACAATGGACACAAACTAACTATAATTTAATTCACTTAATAAGCTGATTTATTGTAATTTACAATGATTTGTGGCATTTATACGAGGAGCAAGGCAAATCAGCGAAGATCAAAACATAATTCAACTTTTGCAGCGCACAAAAGCATGCTACAAATTTTTGCCATATCTACGCACACTCCCAAACACACAAAATATGAAAATATGAATCAAAATGAATGGAACGCAGAACTCAAATCTCCCACAATGAAACTAAGGATTGTATGTAATAATATAATAATTTATAAATTCTACTTTTAATGATAAACATCTTCATACATGTACCTATACGTATGTGACTGTATCTAGCGAATGGCATTTAACCCCGAGTACGTTGAATTGTTTCATTAGACTTATTATTATAATTATTATGTATATGCTTTGTATGTATGTATTTTGTGCATTTTGATTTTACACAACGATTTAGCTGCAATGAATTTATATTGTTATTTATATAGTATTTCTTTTGTATGTGCCCAGTCTTCTCAGTCTCCTCATCCTTCTTCTCCCCCCCTTTTACTGGAAGCCTCCTCCCTTGTGCTCTTGCTCTAGTTGGACGGAAATCCATTTATGTTTTATAGTTTTTAAGCCTAATTTATGTAAACGCACACAAAAACACACACACAACTTAAACATCAACTAAGTAAGTTTATTAGCGAAATAAATATGATTTGATGATCAACAAAAGGTGAGGACAACTTGCAAGAAGCTTAACGGAATCGTTTTGATTTTTTGGCAGCCCCAGCAGATCCAGTGAAACTTTTCAAAAGTTGTGTTGGCCGCAAGATCCGTATAATTCCCATTTCTAGATTTTAAACACCGATCAGCAAACATTCACTTCTAAGCATTTACTTAGGTCAGCCAACACTTTCCCATTTCCATGACCCCTCCCCCCCACCCCACCTTTCCCCCCGCCCCTTATATATCCTGGCCCAACCAAATACTGTAATATTTAATACGTATGTATTTTCCATTCAACTTGTAAAATTCTACCAAAAAGATGAAAACAAAAACGCAAAAACCATTTTCAAATAAAACTATTTATTCAAAAACAAAAACCAAAAGACATTTTGTTTATTTTCGTTATCGTTTCATGATTTCCTTACAGCCAGCGAAAGGTTTTGCATGAAATAAATTGAAATGTCATTGTTGCTGCTAGCTTCGAATTTGGGGTAACAAAGAACAAAACAGTATATAGTCACTTGACCAGTAATGCAGAAGATCAAGAACAAAAAGTTCAATAATTGTATGTAACTATAAATAAATACCAAATCGATATATTTATTGACAATTTAATTAAGCCACAAACAACAAAAGTTATTCATTTACCTTCAAGACAAAGTAAACCAGGTCGGTCTATATATACAGATATATAAATTAAAATAAATATATTTAGTAAAGGGAGATCAACAAATTTCTACATACATACATACATATGTACTATATTTTTCTCGTAAATAATTATTAATCGAATACTCCTCATACGGTAGCGACTATCATTTTCCTCCTCAACGTCGCTCAACTTTTGAATCAACCGAGATCGCGAAACTTAAAAAATAATGAAACCAGCATTCAACTAATAGCAACATTCGTTCATATAGTACAGCATAGCGTTAACCGCAGAATATCGACTAAACTTTTTGCATATTTTCAATACTAAACGGAGAATAGAGTGGTACGGAAATGGAATCAAACATAATTCATATTTTTCTAAAGCTCATACACCTCTTTGCTCCACACACCCCACATAAGCCATGAAAACGCAAGTCGCACCACTACTAAAATTACTTTAATAGCAGTTAAAACATTTATAAGTGAAATCCATAATGAGCTAACGAAGGTAATGCTAATTGATTCAAATCAAATGTCACAGGACATTCACAAAAACCATTTTTTGTAAGTGGCGTAAACAAATCTTTGGGATTTAAAGAGGAGCTGGAGGATAGATGAAGACATGTGGAACCAAGATTATAGGTTAGACAAAGTTTAGACATTGTATGCAATCTAATTTGTAGCCTAATTCAAAATGCTTTGGTTGTCCCATGCAGCAGATCAGATTTGTTTAACTTGTATATGGTAAACTATTTATATACTTATTAAAGCGTATGTGGAAATATAATTCTCCTCAATTCTTGAGCTCCTTTTCTCTCTCTAATGACCCACGTGGATAATGTGTAGCTAATGGCCCATGGAAAAGTTTTAAAATGAGATTGAAACGAGCCACAGAATCTTACTAAGCTCGATAATGATGAATGAATTTGAATCGTTGAATTAAAAACTTAAAATAATATATATGAAACATAAAATAAAGATATAAAAACTGAAATAACAAAACCAAAATGTTTGTATGTAAAAGAAACTCAAAACGTTAGAGATCATCTACAATTTAAATAAATATAAATAAAATACAAAACATTTTTTGATTTTTATTCACGACGCTAGCTGAGAGGTGAGTCCATTGTCTACCATTGTAGAAGGCTCCTTAGTCCTAAATTTTGCCTTTTTGGAATCGAAATGTAGAATTATATAGCCTTCTTCAACGGACATTTTTTTTGTTACGGTTCTATTGGATACAATTGCTGCTGAACCTTTTTATAAATACCATTTTCTGTGTTGCCTTTTCCAAGAACTGCGGTGCGAAATCGCGAAATCAAGGGTCAGGCGAGGTACGCTTAAACTTACGATCAGGTAAAGAGAAAACTCTTCAAGTTAATGTGACCTTTCTGGGTACAGTTTTCCACTTCCGAAAAAACACTTATTCATTGACGATGAATTCAGGTAGGACAGGCCAGATCTAGTTTTGGCAACTGTACATTTCACTCGATTTTCTCACTTATTTCTGGAATTAAAAAGAAACTCTGACAAAGTCATCCACTTGGTACATACAAGTAGTTTTAGATAATTTATGTTCGAAATTCGAATTTAAACCGAAAATGATCTGAGAACTAACAGCCAAATAAAATGAGCATAATGTGTTCCTTTAAACCTTGACTGGCAATTTATTGTGGAATAACTTATAAAGGGATCCTTGTGATTATTCATTTTTTACAATGTGTATGGGGTAACCCCAATATGCTCTATAATCATAATTAGTTACAGGAATTCCTCTTAGATAGATGTGTTATGACTAGTCTATTGCATTGTCTACTCTAAAAGTTTTTTCTTCGATTTGGGAGTAGATATTGTTCGCAGGGACACTCGCCGGGGCGTCTTGTTGTTGGGTGTGGAAGGAGTCGCCTCTGGCACTTTCAATGGGGTTTCGGTGGCCTCCTCTTGGGTATCCTCGTAGACCAGACGGATATCCTCGGTTCGCTCGCAGGTGACCTCGCTGGCTTCGATTACCACAGGCGGTTTTGATTCTGTCTTCTTTGCCTCCGGCAATGACTCTTGGGAATCCTTTTTCGCCGTTGGCAGGGGTGTAATGCCCTCCTCGAGGGGCCAGGCATCCATGGCCTCCTCCATCGGACCCACAGGCGAGTTGACGGGCATGTCGATGAGCACACGGGGAGTTCGTCTTACAGCTATGGGGGTGGCTTGTTTGGCGGGTTGGCTCTTCGGCGTTAGGTTAAAATTTCCCGAGCTGCCGGGAGTTCGGGGCTGGCGACGCACTTGAATGGGCGTTGCGGGGCGGGACTTCTTCTCGGGCGACTCGAACTTCTCGTCTGAACTGATGATCTTCTTGTCGATGATCGGAGTTGCCAATAACGATGTCTCTTTTGGAGCCACTGAATCAGTGCTGATCTTGCGCTTTATGGTCGCTGCACCATCACGTGGCACTGCTTCTTTTTCTGGCGATTCAGAAATTGATTTTTGTGTGAAGGTGCCTTCAGCGTCACCTTTGGACTGCGACAGTTTGATACCCTCCTTTCCATCTTCCTGCTTACGCGGAGATCTACGTATAGCAATGGGCGTGGGTGCGGCCGTAACTTTACGGGGCGAGCGCCGGAAGGCAATGGGTGTGGGCTTTGCATCGTCCTTCGCCTTCGCCTTGGGGCTGTTCGAGCCCGATGAACTAGCGCTGTGCATGGATGAGTCGTTTTCAGCATCCACATTGTTCTCGCCCTCCTCTTTTGTCCCTGATCCTGCAGTCTTCCTGTTTGTATTCGGTTTGGTCTTCTCCTGCAGTGGTTTCCGTGTGGCAGCCACCTCATCCAACGATGCCTTACGCAGCTTGTGCTTCTTTCTCTTCGGCAGCGGTACGTTCTCCGACGATTTTAGGGCAGCGCTCAGCACTGCATCCATATCTTCGTACCGCTCACCCAGCTCGTTCGGCTCGAACGATATGAGCGAACAGAACCCATCGGTACTGGACACGATCAGAACAGTCCCGTCACTGGACCAGGTCAAATCCGAGAGTCGGCTGTAGTGGATTTTCGAGACGATGGCAAACGGCACCGCCTGTTGGGTGTCGTAAATGAACACCGCGTTCTTTGTGGCCACGGCATAGATCATGCGGTACGGCAGCGAGATGATCGGCGGATTCTTCTCCGCTTTGTACGGTCTCAGACGATACAGAACCGGAGAGCAGCGCACCGCCACAGCGTATTCGTTGGGAAAGGGCAGCACAAAGGCGGGTTTCGATAGATCATAGCGACTGAATCCGTAGGTGGTGTTTATCGGCTTCTCCACGCCGTCGTAGTCGGTGATTCCAGCGGGCGTGAGCAGCATCTTGCCATCGGTGGTGAAGCACAAGCGGCGGAAGAAGGTCTGCAATGTGCCATCGTGGTACAGTCGAACGCTCTTGCCGTGCAGCTCGTGGCCCTCTTTAACCGGAAATCCGCATTTGCTGACTCGGTGCAGAACTCGCTTGGTATTTACATCAAATATGCGCATTATCCTGGAAGACAAATAAGGTGTTATTATTAGAAAGTCTTTGAGATGTTACAACTCCTGGCAATTATCTGGTTTCTTTTGGTTTTTCCCATTCAATAAATGCTGTTATCTGTTATTATATCATCCCTCTGTAGCCATATTTACTGAACGTTGAGAAGTATTTGTGGTACACCAAAATAAGATTTTCGGTGGGAAGAGATTTCGCACTATTTTAAGGAAAACCCGAAACAAGATTTTGTTCCAGAATTAAACAGATATTGTGCCTGCCTACCTGTCAGTGCTCATTGTGGCGATGTACTGATTGCACGGATCCCAGGCCACGCCCTGAACATATCCCTTGTGGTCATCGAGAATGGCCAGCGATTTGCCCTTATGGACGTCCCACAGCATCGCGGTGTTGTCCACGGATCCGGTAACCAGGAACTGTGAGTTGGGCGCCCAGCTGAGGTCGTAGATATCCTCGCGATGGCCGCGCAGAACCTTCAGGGTCATCCAGACCTCCTTGTCCTGATCGCTGCAGCCATCGGCATCCACTATGTTGATTACTTCGTGGTCGGCCTTCTGTTTCCAGATAAACACCACACTCTCGTCGTCGCCGGAGGCCAGAAGCTCCCCGTTGGGTGACCAACGGACCGTGTTGACGGCACGCTGATGCCGAGACAGATCGGCGGCCAGTTCCACTTCCACGCCCTCGGTGTTAACACCGCGATTCACATACCAAATGAGAACATGGGCATCTGAGCCGCCGGTGGCAAGGCGACCAATCGCCGGCGATCGCAATCCCTGACCATTTTGCTGAATATCCACGCTCAGCACAGGATCGCGGTTATGCCACGATATCTCGGGTGTCTGGCACTTCATCGTGTTTACTTAATTACACTGTAGACGGCTTGAAGTGCGAAAAATGATTTTATGCGGCAGATTTCGCGCCTAAAAGTGTGACCATCGGTGATTGAAATACCAAAAGCGAGAAATTTCGATTGCCGCGTTATCGATGGGCAGAGCGATAGACGGGGAAACCAGGGCTGCAATCGCACTTAGAAAATGGTAAACAAAAATTGCTATTGTTGATTTCACGGATTTTAATTAAATTTCTTGGGTTATTTACAGTCCGTAACGCTGCACACTGACGTGGGGGATCTTAAAATAGAGCTCTTCTGCGATGCCTGTCCCAAGGCATGCGAAAACTTTCTTGCCCTGTTCGCCAGCGATTATTACAGCGGCTGCGTCTTTATCCGGAACATAAAGGGTTTTATTGTCCAGACTGGTGATCCCACGAATACGGGGAAGAATGGCCAGTCCATTTGGGGACAAAAGTTTGACGACGAATTCAAGGAAACCGTCAAGGTGAGCGATTTTCCAGGAAAACTTTCCTTTTAGTCAGGCCATGCCGGCTGTCTTTAGTACCCTGTAACAATTGGCACTGAGGGTATATTGTATTTAGTCTTTATATGTAACAAGACCGCATTTTAGATGTAACATATATATTCCTATTATTATTTTGTCATCAAGTTAATTAATCATTTGGTTCAAAGGCAAAATTAAAAAGACCAAACATGTTTCTTAATTTTATTTGTAGTTGAATTAAAATAAAAAGAATTTCTAGAAATACTTTTTTTTTTTTAAATTAGTTTTTTAGAAAATTTTCTTAAAGATTCCCGATTTTGGAAAACACTAATGGCTTTCCAGAAGAGTCACCTAAATTGAAAAATTTAATACCACCTCAAACGAGTAAAAAACATATTATTGTTTATCCAGCACACTGATCGAGGAATGGTCTCCATGGCCAATAACGGTCCCAACGCCAATGCCAGCCAGTTCTTCATCACGTACGCCGCCCAGCCGAATTTGGACCTGAAGTACACGCTCTTTGGACGCGTTATCGATGGCTTCGATGCACTGGACGAGCTGGAGAAACTGCCCGTCAATCCCAAGAACTACCGGCCCCATGTGGACAAGAAGATCAACGGCGTGACCATACATGCCAATCCTCTGGCGACGTGATTGAGTACACAAGTTCGAAAACGTTCGCTTAAAATGAAATATATTTATAGCACTTAAGTTTACACGTTTTCTTCGATTACAAGCTAATTGATTGAGAAACATCAAATATTGTGCAAAAGTACCTAACGACTAAATCTTAAAATCAGCCAAGTCACAATTGTTTATAAAAAATTGCATTGTTTATGTATAACTCTCTCGATGACTTTTGCACTTAATTTGGAACTAACACTAGACGGATGTATAAGATGTGTGTTTAGAACGATCAACTATAGGGGATAAAACAAATGCTAACAAGAATCTCAACTACATGGACTAAGTGGATTATGTGGAGGCGCCGTTTGTGAGTGTTTTGGCGGGCTTCGGATGGTCCTTCATGTGTTGCTCGAACATGCTGCGAATGTCGGCCAGAGCCTGCGAAATGTTCTGCGCAAAGCGATGCACATCCTGCCGAGAAAATCGGATTAGCTTTATAAATTTCACTTTGTGAATGCTTAGTTCTTACCGTTTGCTGGCACGTGGTCTTCGCTGAGATATGGAAGAATATTAGATTCTCGCCGGCAATGATGTAGGACACACCATAGCCATCATCGGCCACGGGCCCAAAGCCGCCGCCAGCGCTGATGCAGTTCGGATGCTTCTTCAGGTCCATCTTGGGCGTCTGGCCGTGCGGAGTCTGACTAGTGGACAGGCGCCATGGCTCGCTGAGCACCTCGTTGAGGAAGGGAGAGTCCACCTCCAGGTACTTGGAGACGACATACAGGCAGAACAGATGCCTGTCGATTCCCCGTCCGCACATGGCATCCTGGTAGCCCAACTGATGGCGATCGCAGGCATCCTGCAGCATCTTAACTCGCTCATCGTTCTGCTCAGCGAAAAGTTACAGATTAGCCTGGGATCTCTCACTAAAAATATATACACATCTTACGGTTGTATTGGGATTCTGCATAGCCTTGACCCAGGCAGACGACTCAATGGTGCAAGGACGCACTGTCTCAGTTCTTCCTTCGCGGAACAGACGGGTCATGGAGGCCTCGTAAGTCAGCGAGAAGCGTCCGGCATCCCGATAGTAGGCCAACTGCAGGGCCATTTGGATGTAGGCATCCGGCGAGATGCGGCACTTCTTCATAAATCCCTTTCCGTACTCCTGATGCACCAGGATGCGCAAATTAACCTCGTTGATTAGCTTGGTCACGTCGATGGTGGCCTCCTCGATCTGCGACAGGCATGGTTTCAGATCCCATGTGAGGCGGGTGGGTGTTGGTGGCTGGAACTCGGGGGTGCCCTTGGTGTTGCCAGTTTCATCATATCTACAGGGTTCCCAAACAATTGGTTAGCATCAAAGAGTATTGTGTTGTGGAAGGAAATATAATGCAAGCAACGTAAACCAAAGACTTTTGTTAATTTTGTATAATGTTTGTTAGTTACGGAAAAAATCAAATAAAATAAATATTTGGCCTTTTGGGTTGTTAAGCATATGTAAATACAGTCAATAAAGGGAATGTGTAAATTTCTTTAAAATTAAAAACAATTAAAACTAAACAAATAAATCACCATAAATAATTAGCTAAACTTAGTTTGTTCAAATTTGAATACTTGCTTTACAAGTTAATTTTAATGTGCACTGGATTATATTTTATCGACTAGTATTGGACTTTGACGTATTTTCCAAGCTCATTGAAACTAATATTTACTGTATCGCGAGATCATTAATGCTTTTAACGCTTAGAGACTCTCGTGCTCAACCCAAAATGACTTGAATTGCTTTGCTTTGCGCTTGTGTGTGCTTTGGAATTAAGTGTTTACCCATAAATATCATCACCAAATATATACTCCCAAAGGTGTCCCAAAACCGGTGCATCGGCCCTATAAAGAAGGTGTAAATGGTGTAAATAAATTGTTAGGCCACAACCAAAGTTAATCAAAATAAAACTAATAATCATAATCATAATTTAATTGGGACGATGGATGATAACTGAAAACTGAACGCAGCCAACCAAAACCGATAAATTGCAGGCGGGCATAGGAATCGAAAATTATTACCCCTGCGACACATTATCGTCGACTATCAGGTTCTCCCACATGTGTGAGGCGATGGCGGCGTCGGACCTTTTGGATTGTGATTTGTGAGTTTTACAAATCGGTTCAGATGGTTAAGATCAAGGAAAATCAGGAGAAAATCAGAGGAAGTTCTCGGGGTCTGAAATGAGTTATTGGGAGTAGCGATCGTACTCCACTTACCAGGTATGCTCGGCATTGAAGCCCACACGTCCATTGGTGCCCACACAGACGGTGAAACACTTGTCGAACCAACGGTTGTAGCCATTGCCGTGTAGCAGCTTCTTGCCAAAGTTGTCCAGCAGCTCCGGACGGGCCAGATCGAACTCGAAGGGCTCATCATCCAGGGAGAGCACGAATGCGGCCGACTCAATGGTTCGCAGGGACACATGATTGGCACCCCGCGAGAAGAACGTGTTGCGGGCTTCCGCCCACTTGGACCGATTCCAGGCGGTCAGGGCGGCCAAATGTTCCTCGCCCTCCACGGGCGTTGCCTTTCCCTTCAGAATTTCCTCAATTTGACTGCAAAATAAGCAAAAATTTAATAACAATTTCTGGATAATTTTTAAAAGGGTGGCCCTTACACTTGCAGCTCGCAAGGACGCAGGATGCGACCCTTGTAGTAGATGAGCATCTTGTAGTAGCATCCCTTGTGCAGCACCACAATGTGGTTGGAGTCCCTGTAGTGGATAATGCGATCGGTTTCGAGGCCGGGCACACGTGCCGTGTTGAAGGTACGTTCGTACTGCCAAGAGCACAAAGGAATCATGCCCTGAACCATGATCTGGTGGAGAAAAGAGTTCAATCAATTTTAGCATTATTGCTTCTTTCAATTATATTAATATATAGCCTGTCTGATAATTTATCGCAATTTTAATAATTATATTTTAATAAATCATCAATATATGGTAAGCAAATGATTTTAAACCAAATCAAACGGATATGACTGACTAATGAGCCATAAATGTCTATATTTAGGCGTTGAAAATGCCCATGAAATTGTTAATATGCCGTCACTGCTGTAAAATGTATTCTAATATCTAGTATAGTTTATGCCCACTCTGAATATGCCAATACACAGACAGAAGTTGTTAAGTCTTATAAATCTACGATATTATTGGCACTTACTGGCTGTAGTTCCTGGTGCTCGATCAGTCGACGGAAGTTGAGCAGCAGGGAGATCACATTGGCCGCTCGCGCCGCCTGTTTGTCGGTGAGGTTCATGAAGATGGCATCCGTGCCGTAGAAGTTGCTGTTCACGCACAGGGGACTGCGACCACGCAAATAGACGTACTCCTCCCACCAATCCGACACGTAGTTGGTGGACCACCAGCTCTTGAGAATGAGGTACCACTGCAGCTTCTTGCCGATGGTCTGCTCGAATTCCTTGGCCAGTCGCTCCATTCGCGTGTAGTTATCATCGTCCAGCAGGGGGCGGACGCTTCGCAGGTACCTGACCATCGTATCACTGACGGAGGGCAATGGCAGTCGGGGAAGGGATCCCTGGAAGCTGTACAAGCCTGGTTTGTTCCAACTGGAGAGCACTCGCACCACTGCCACCCACAGCATGGTGGGCAGTGAGACACGACTTCCGGGCGCTCTGGACTCGTACATCCAGCCCTTGTACATGAGCAGCAACTTGAGAGTGTACCGCATGGTGAAGCAGATCGAAAGCCAGATCACCAAAGCGGCCAAAAAGCAGGCGGTCACCTGCCAGTTAATTGTGTTGCATGGCATATGCACCAGTATCCGGTTGGTCAGATTAAATGGAGCCTGGTAGCCTGCAAAGTGCAGACCCAGTGCAATGGCTGAAATCAGCCAGAGGCTTTGAATATGAGCCGGATAGACCCCATTCCGTACACCGTTCTAAAAGGGAA